CAACACCCCTCTCGAGGCGCCTGCTGCGCGCCGCTCGGTCCTGCGTTGTGATGTTTGGGAAGGGTTTTGCAAACCCACGCAACCCATGCATGCTTCTGACGGGGCCCCAGAGAGGCGTTATCCACCGGCCGATATGCGATGCGGGCCTCCCAGCGGCATCCCACTTCTCCACATTCAACCCCCCCCGGTGGCGTCCTCACGGCGTGCCGCGTGCCGGCGGTGACGCGGCGGCGGGTGGCGGCGGGGGACCTTTCGGGATCGCTGTGCGTGGCCTCACCGGGGGTCTGCTGGTAAGCTGGCAACGAGTGCGGGGAGGGAGGGAGGTTGTCATCCTCGTTTGGGTATGCACCCAGGCCGTTGTCAACAAAGGCAGCCTGTGCCGTGCATACTGTACTTGTACAACAGTGATTATATCCTAGTATCTTGAACAACCTAGTAGCTAGTAGTAGTGCAGTGCGTCTCCCGTCACGTCTCGTTGTTGGGTGCGTGGGTGTGATATGTGGTGGCAGCCGTCATGTCACTGTGATGCTTTTGCCACAGTTGTAGCAGTGGTTGGGGTACATGTCGTGCGGAACGTGGCCGAACGCTGATGCTTTAGCCACGCTCGTCTCGGCCCCCTGCCTAGCTTACATTCGCAGAACGGTGTGGACATGTGCTGGCCTCTGAGCAGAAGCGGCGGCGATGGGATTACGATGGGAGTAGAGAGAAAACAAAAAACAAAACAAGTGGTGGCGATGGAGACAGAGAGGAAAAAACGAGCGCGAAAAAACGTGGATTAGCGGGGGACAGCGGGGCCGGCGGGCCATACATGGCCGCACTCGTATATATATATGGTCGGCGAGGAATGCGGCTGGCCCACAGAATCCCCCGCATGTGCCGCCGCGTATGCGCTTTGCGCTTTGCCTTGCGCGGGCCCGATAAGACCTGTGCTTTGTCTCACATGAATTGGTCTCCTTTTGGTCGAACGTGTGTTTGGATTGGATTTTGGATTTGTAGAAGTCGGTTGTTTTCGAATCTGGCCGCGTCTCTTTCCTATCAATGCCGAAGCCCTGCACGGGGCCACATGTGGGTTCCGTACGTGTTCCGTCGCTTCGTCCGGGGTGACGCAGGCAGGCGGTGCTGACAAGCACAACAAAGAGGGCCAGTGCACGCCCAGCCAGCCAGCCAGCCATGGCCGCGCGCCCCCATGCGCTACTGCGCTTGTTGACAAGCGCCGTTCGCTGGCGCCACGGCGGCTGGAGTTGGCGGAGCACCACGCGCGGGGCAGAGATGCTGGCCGCTGGGTTTACGCTATAGCCAGCTACCGCGAATGCCACCCAAAACTTGGACTGAGGTTCTACCGATTGCGGCTGCGAGAAAGCCGCGATCCGGTGTGCGTGCATGCATGCATATATGGCTGTGGCGTGGGACAGCCGCAGTCGGGGGAACCCCCCAAGCTGCCACTCGGACACATTCCGATGTGGCACCGGTTTGATCCGATCCATGCCCTCCTTTCTCTGATTACCGGTTTCAGCACTAGACAGATGTAAGGGGACCAAGGAGGGCAACTGGCCAACTGTGAAGCATTCTGGCTCACGCTTGCCAACAGCCAGAACGTGCACACTCAGTACACGGACATCACCACGGAAATACATTGTCCAGGGCTTTGGGCATATATCCACTTTCCATACAACCCACTCCCCCCTTCGCCACCAACCCTCACACGCTCCCATCACCCGCACACAAGTGTCCGTCAACGCTAACACGTCCCCATTGTCCAACGTCCGAGGTTCAACTTTCTGTCTGTGGTTCTACACCGAGAGGGGGCTACTGGATGCGGTAGTGGCAGATGACACAGTAGCGCGGGTCACTGGGGTCGGGCTCGTGGCCTGGCATGTGGCGTCAGCGCAGGTGTTCTAGAAGGAGACGAGACGAGCCCCCGAGCTGACCGTGTGTGTTGACCGGGTACGAGAAGTGGGAGCAAGTGCAAGCCATTGCGGTCATGACGGTCAACGGTTTCGATGTTTCACAAGCTCGGTCTAGGCGATGGTGACGAGTTGTGGATGCCTGCTGGTGGGCTTGGAGACGGGTTGGCGACTCGAGCTCCAGAGCTTTTAAAAGCTGCGACACGAGTCGTTGGGGACGTCCGGTACATCAGTGCAAACACTTTCCCGGAAGCGAGGTCACAGGACCTGCGTTCGCTGACGAGTCACGTATCGCATCATTCAGATTCATCACTGCATCGGAGAGACGGGCAGATGAGGAGAGACGTGGTGAGGGAGAAAGATGATGAGGAAGGGCCAAGGCGTTTTTGTATAGAGGTGGGTTTAGGATCTCGATCCCCCCATGGCCTGCGGCCATTCGTCTTGGGCGTGAGTTCACATCTTGCCGCCGCAGAGCTTGCAGATGTTCGGGTTGAACGAGAGCGGGACGCAGGCTGGGTAGGTTGGAGGAGTGTGGTTGGTCTGGTCAGATCCAGATTCATGAGGTATGAGGAAGGTATAGTGTCATGTGGGGCTCACTGTGGTCGTTGGCCATTGGAAGGTTCAGTACAGGTGCTGTGTACCGAAAGAGGATGTTGTGGTAGTGTTCACCGGGGAAATGTGTCGGCTGCTGCGAGGGACACTGCTGGTGAGGATACTGATGATGTAGGAGGCGGTGACGGGTACATGAGCACCAAGAGTCCTTTTAAGTCTGACGGCCTCGTGTGAAGGAGGACTGGTACGCTGAAAAGTTGCACGTAACCCACACACCAGTGCGAGAAAAACGCAAACGAACATTGCCCCACGATCACACAGACACACTCCGTGTCTGCATCAATTGGCCTCGGATGGAGAGAGCAGCAATGTGGCACAAGCGACGTGCCGGCGTCCAACAACACAAGATCCTTGAGCCATTTGCCATCATCTTGACAGCAGGCGACTGTGCGGGCGGCGCTTGTGATGGTGGTACATCACTCTTATCAGGTGTACCCACAGTTCTAGGTAACCGTGGTGGACTGTCATTTGCATTGGGGAACAATGAGTGTGGCAACACGGCACAGTTTTCCATCAATCCCTCCGAACCGGATTGTGCAAGCCCTACGTAGAGTCCATGTGACAACCGTGTCCTGCGTACCTGCGTCCCATCAACCTACTTGGGTACCATGTCAAGATCTTGAAACGCAAGCGACATTACATGCCAAGCCAACAGATCAACCGACTCGCAGGAGAGCAGGAGACCGCATTAAGCATTCACTCGGAGAACCCCGCCGTCATCATTCCCCGACCGAGACGCGCCGACCCGGGACGCGGGGCCCTCAAATGTCCACATGTCCAATCTCTCTCGTCACCCAAATATACATTGTCCATGCATATGCATACGTCACACCGCAAGCCCATGAGAGTTACACGTACTGTACATCCCACGCTGCAGTTGTGCTGTTCCCTTTATTGGAATCCCGTTTGCCCGGTGTCCCCACACGCGTCCCGGCCTCGTGACCGCCATCAACGGGAGCCGGGCAGTCTCGGTCCTGCCCAGCTCTCAGTTATTCCCTTTGTGCCCTCCTCCGTTCTGGTCGGCCGTGCGTCAAAAGTGCTCGCCGCAGTGCCGGCAGATGTGGGGATACCAGAACCAGCCCTCGTGAGTCGCTGAGTTGGTCAGACGCACGGCGAGCACTGCAGAGTGCTGTCCCGGGAGCGCTTACAGTGTCCACGGCAATAGAGCGCCATATCCCGAAAGCTTGGATGGGGACGGGTCGGGAGGGGGTGAAGCGAGGTGTGCAGGAGCCTGCGGTGGGTTATGGGGGTGGAGAAGCAGGCGGTAACGGCGGTCGCAAGCCGTGATGTCCAATGTGGGATCCAAGAAGAGGGGGGTTGTGCAGGCAATGACTATACTTATGGACGTTGGATCGTGGGCGGGTGGGTGGGCAGAATCCCCGTGAAGCGTCACAAGCCACCGATCTCTGAGACATGGTGACGAGGAAGGGACGCGCTGGAATGCTGAATACGGAATTGAGACGCGGCTGTAGGGTTGCGCGCGGGTTGATACACCGTCCTTGTCTTATCTTGGAGAGCAGACTGTGTGGGGGTGTGAAGGTGACCGCTGAAGGTCACTTTCAGCCATTGTCTCTCGGCGGTTGTGACTGCTTTGGTGAATTGGTTACCACCTGCCTCCTGGTACCCAGTTCAGACGCCAACAGTCAATGAGATCGGCTGGCCATCTGGCGGCGAGTTGAGTGATCGCCCAGGTATAGGAAGGGGAGGGTAAGGAAGCAAGAGACCGTGTCATGTGTTGTTTTGAAAAGGACAATACCATTTCCTTGAGAACAATGTGGGTGAGCGCCACGAAGCGTCCTCGCGTCCTTGCAACCAGCAGCGACGTGGCCCGTGGTCAGCCACACCCAAATACAGCGCGTGCCAGAACGTCAAACAGAATGCCGCGGGCTTGCCCGCGGCTCCGTACGTAGCAGAGGTGAGGTCGGTCAGCTGCAGCTGGCCGCTGGCCAGCATGGACGGTGTGAGTGTGTGTCAGTCGACAGTGTCCATCGAGGGAAGAGGGTGGGGTATGCTGAAGAGGGCAAGCATTCTCGCCTCAGTATGCAATGTAGATGTGCAAGATGCAAGCGACATGCAGCATATGACACACGGCATCTTGCGGCTATTAACGACCACTTGCTGCGCGCGACGCACCAGTGCTCACATGACATGACGTCTTGGCCCGTACCTTGCTCTTTGCTCTTCTCTCGCATGGGTCGTCGTCGTCGTCCCCGTCGCCCAGCCAGGCCAGCCACGGCAGCGCGTCTGGGAGTGAGGCGGGACAACCTCCCCATGCATGCACATTGTGGGTGCGTGGTCATGTGTGTCATCTGACACGGATGGGCACAGGCTGCCGCACCAAGCGCGCGCGCGCCCACAGCCGTGTGCCCCGTACTTAAAAGGACGGTTGTGCATCCTCCCATTCCCACATCCGTCCGCTCTCTCTCTCTCTCTCTCAACAACACCCCTCCCACAACACCTCCCACAACACTCACTTCATCCACCATGGGTCGTCTTGCCGGTCACTGCGGTATGTCCCATCCACCCTCGCTGATGCGGATGCTGACCGCCTGCCTCGTCTAGACACTGCCACTCCTTGCGTTGCCAACCCCCAGCTCCCCACCTTTTGCCACCGCTGCGCGCACCCCATGAGGAAGCCCCACCCCAAGGGATGGAAGGCTAAGAAGGGCGAAGAGGAGACGGCCAGCACCGCCGACGCCGACGAGGACAACAAGAAGTGAGAGCGCGATCAGTAACGCCAAGCTACCGAGGCGAGAGGCGAGGCGAGGCGGGCCACCGCACGCAAGCACGACCCACCAGCCAAGCCCACGTCACGCGATCAAGCCCACCCGGTTCCGAGTCCCCAAGTCCACGATCGTCCGAAGTCAAAGAGTCGTTTAGCCCACTTGCTGTAGATGGGGCAGAGTATGCGAGAGACAAGCTGTGAAGTCCTCCACCACGCGTTGCAGCAGGGTTCAGAGGAGGTTGTGGATGGATGGCAAATGCGGCCCGAGACAGAGCAGTCAGGGCAAACCAACCAACCCCCCCTCACCCCCACAGCACCTGTTCCACACCCCGCAAACAACCCGCCGGCGCCGTCAAGCTCAGCCAACCACAGCAACCCACCGCGGACAGCGTCCAAAAAGGGAAACACCTTTGCAGATGCTTGCTTTGCCTTCTACCCGAATTGAACGGGTGACCCTTTCATCGTAGCAGTGGTCTTTGGAAGAGACCAGCGAATACTAGTGAAAAATTCTAACCACTGAACTAAGAAGGCGACGATGTTTGCTGTTTGAGAGTGAGCACACGGTCGGTGGTGGTCTCACGAGCGAGGCGGACATGGAGCAGTGCAGCTGAAGAGAACATGGTCAGTGCTGTCGCGCTGTCGGCAGCACTCGACCACCCACAACTAGTTGAATTCTAGAGATGTTACATTGCGTAGCTATCCAAAGCCTGCGAGATCCAGCGCGCTAATGTACTGCGACACGGATGGCTCGTCATCGTCGTCGTCTTCCTCATCTTCATCCTCGTCCTCATCGTCGTCGTCATCATCGTCCTCCTCTTCCTCGTCATCCTCCTCCTCCTCTTCACCTTCGCCGTCCTCTTCCTCTTCGTCCTCCTCCTCATTGGCAGGCTCGTCGTCGAGGTTTCCCAGCTCGTTTTCATCCTCGTCGTCGTCCGGGTCCATGACCAACTCGTCGTCGGCCGACGAGCTCGTCGTGCTCGACTTGTTGGGCGGGACCCAGCGTGTCGCGCTTGAGCCCATCATTGCGACAGGACTGCGGGTCATGACGCCGTTGATGTTGAAGGCATCGGTAAACGAGACCTTGGGCACAGGATGCCGGTCTGCCGAGGTCGATGCCGCTGGGCCTGCGCCGCCAACGCTGCCGGTACTGTCTTCCCGTGTTGTCGTCTCTCGCGGCGAGATGGTTCGGCGGTCCATAGTGTTGACCCGCGCGAGAGGCGCACTGGACGGGGTGCGCGCCGGTGGTGTCGTCCCCTTGGGGGTCGGGAGCGGCGCTGGGGGTGGTGGGGCGGCCGGGAAGGTGAGACGCATACTTGGGTGACGCCTTGCGGTGAGTGGGTTGGGGAAGGGGAGGGGACCGGTGGAGGAAGACAGGCATGTGGTGGCCGATTTGGATGTTGTCGAGCGTTCACGCTCGCGTTCGCGTTCGTTGGGTTGCGAAGGGGTTGTGCTGGGCGTCGCGGGCTGAGCGGGCCACAGCCATGATGGATACGGTGGTGGTGGGAGCGCGAGAACAGCTCCTGGGTCATCCTTGCTGGGTCCAGAGGTGGACAGGTAGGACGTGATGAAGGGAACGAGCGGAAAGTCATCGTGGTCCGGTTCGAAGCGATAGATTTCGCCCACAATCGACTCTGCATGCCAGCCCTGCAATTTGCGAAGACATGCGACGATGAGGGTCGTGTGGGAGTTGCCATTCGTATCTGCCAGGTAGATCGGATACGCGGCCGGGTTCAGTAGGACCTAGACGGTGAGCCCATGGGATCGCGCTTTGCCATGCGGAAGGGGACGTACCTTGAGAGCCTCGCTGACGTCTGCGCGCTCCATACCCAGTGTCTCTTCCCCATAGTCTCTGCTTTTATCCATTTGACGTCGATGCCTCGTCGTGTCGCCCAGCGGGTAAATGCGTCCTCTTCCTTGAGGGGCTTCTTGCGAAGACACACGAGGGTGCGGAGTCCCAGTCGACGGACAAAGGGAGCGTTGCGAACCGCTGGGAGTGCGCCGCGGTACAGGATCTGTGAAGTGTCGGCGGCGGCGGCGTCCTGACAGCCTTGACCCAAGGGTGAAGCGACAATGGCAAAATGGTATGGCGGGGTGAGCATGGCGCTCAACCGCGCCTGATGCTGGCGAGGACGAGAGACAGAGGGATATGGTTTGATTGTCGAACATATCACCCATCGGCTCTCTCTCCAAGATCCCAAGACGTCACCTTGGCAGAGAATGAAATGGATTACGTAAACATAAATGCCTCCCTTCTTGGCGTCGTCTGCCTCCCTGTTACCCTCTCTCATGTGCCCCCCCGCCTCTCCCTTCCCCGGCGGCGGCGGCGGCGGGTGTGGTGACGAAAGGATTATCCGCCCCGGTCAACAAAGCGTAGACCCGCGGACATCCTCTTCGGCTCGTTCACTCCACTTTTCGTTCTTTTCTCAAGACACACGTTGACCCACACATCGACGAGAGAGCTCTCACGGGCATACCTGGGCTCCCCCCCGCGTCGCCATACACCCCGGCCCCAGCCCACTCTCTCAATGCCTAAACCGACGTTCCTACAGAGCGTCCTCGGGCGGCCCTCTCGCTCGTACGCCCAGCACGCGCCGCCGTCGCCGTGGGACGAGTCCCCGACGCGCACTTCCTCGTACTCGTCCGCCATCCCTCGCGGCTACGCCGACCAGTATGCACATCAACATGACACCGACCCAGGCCCTAGTCGGCGGGCACGGCGTTCCCAGTTGGATGCCTACCAGGACGAGTACCATGGGAGCAACCTGGCTCCCCGGCCATTGCCGCCTCCCAGCCGCGAATTGGTCTACAGCGATGTCAGTCACCCACAGTACAGCGATAGCCTTGGCCAGGAGCGTACACCGCGACGTCTCTTGTCCGACAGCGCGCTGTATGACGATGCGACAGTGACAACGTCTTTACCACCGCCCCGCGTCGTGCACATTGTTCCTCCACAACCACCGCCCGAACATGACGACGACGATGAAGGCGAAATGTATTTGCGACAACCAGAGTACACACTACGGCCATCATCAAAACGTCATCATCTCACCCCCCATCCTCACGACCCGAGCTTGCCGCAAGATCACCATCCTCTCCAACCACCACGCCTCACTCCGCCAGGCTCTACATCCAGCTCGGACACGCCACCCAGTGTCTCGAGTACATTGTCCTCGTCCGTCTCCGCGCCCAAGTCTGTGTCGTTCAAGGGTGTGCCAGACTCTCCCAAAAATGACAGACGCGTGCTCCCTGCTCCAACAGCCGATGCCAGCAACGCACATGACGTCCATGTGCCTGCCTACCCGCCTCCGGCAATAGCGGTTCGCCAATTTGAGCCGGTAGTCGAGGACGACGACGAGCGTGTGGAAGACGCCGATTCCGACTCGGATACCCCCTTCTACACGCCTCGACAGTCACTCGATGTTATTGACGAACACAGCGACGAGGACGAGACGGACCAAGAGGAGACACCCGCAGCTCAAATATCTAGCCTGCCTGTTGTCCCCGTGTTGCAGCTCCAGCCGCCCACACCGGCGCCATACGCCGACCCGTCCGAGACTCCCTTCCACGCGCTGCAACATCATCGGGATTCGGACGAAATGTTGTCTCCAGACACCGACATTCGACCACGGGCAGTCCGTCAACCGGACTCCAAGCCGACACCTGCGCAGCCTGCGGCCGAGCCAAAATCGCGTCCGAGGCCAAAGCGAGCAACACCTGTGGACGACCTCCCACCACCATTACCGCCCAAGTCGTCACCGGACCGCAAGGGCCGTGTGCGACATGCACAAATGACTGTCCTCAACGACTCGCCCATCAAGCTAACTCGGTCCAAGAGTGTGACTGGCACGAACCTCACACGGTCCAAATCGACCAGGAGCGTGACGACTGCGTCTGACGGCGGCCTCACACGCTCAAAGTCAAGCAAGAGCGTAAAGTCGTTGAAGACAAAGTCGGTTACTTCTGCCTCGTCCGTGTACAGCGATGAGCCCAACGTCGTCCCACGAAGGGCCATGTCGGACATTGGTGGACGCAGCAGCGCACGACCTCTCTCGCGTGCGTCAACAACGCGGTCATCACGTACCATGTCGACCACACCTGCCCCTGTCGCCGAGCCGGAGAGGAGCTTCTCGCCGTCCTCGTCCCGTTCGACCTCCGAGGCGTCGTTTACTGCGCGTTCGGCAGACGGCGGTGTGCGTACCGCCGGTTATGGCAAGGGTGGATGGGCGGCCGCGTCTGCCGCTCCATTGGTCATGTATATGCCCTCTGGCGGCGACGGGTGGGCGGCTTTCCAACCCCTACCTCCTCGGTCGCGATACAGCACCCTCCCCGGTACACATCCAGGTTTCGAACGCGGCAGCGACTCTCGTGGCAACTCGATGGACGCATCTGGCAGCTTGAATCCCAGTGCGAGCGCGAGTGCGAGTGGCGACGGTCGGTACACCTCTTTTGCTGGTTCGCTGGCCTCGGCTGGCAGGCAGAGTCCCACGGCCTCGAGTTCAAGCGCGAGGTACCGTCCCCGTGACCACCGCACGTCCGTTGCCAGCTCGCTCCGCATTGGTATAACCCCGCCCGACACGCCGCCGATAGTCAGCCCCGTGTCAACCCCCGCCAATGCGAGCGATGACGAGTGGGAGGGCCCGGCACCCAGTCGGTCGTATGCCAGGCCTGGATCTGTCTCTGGCACCCAGACCCCGCCGACGCGCTTGTCCACCGACACTCGCGGTTCCAACGGGACGCCACGCCACTCGAACGACTTGGGCCGCGGATCGCTGCAGTACGACTATGCCTCTGAAGCTGGTCACAGTTCGTCGGGCCCTGGTAGCCGTAACCCCAGTCCTGTCAAGTATGATGGATCTGGACGCGAACATCGCTGGGTATCGGCCGAGTATGATCCTTATGTCGCACAGGACCTTGCTGGGAACCAGTCGGTACGTAACGCGCGCATGTCAATGCCGCTGCAACCACCACCACCAGCAGCCATGAGCGTCGCAGGATCCAACTACTCGGGTCGCTCGGCGCGCCACTCAGTCTACTCTTCTGCCCCCTCCGCTGTCCCATGGTCCATCTCCCCTCCGCCATCCGACAGCTCTTACCAGCCGACCACTCCTCGCCTCCCTGTTGTCCCGCGCGAGCTCCTACTCGACCCCGTTCTGGAAGGTGCGCTGAGGCCCATGTCCCCCACGTCATCAGTGTCCCCATACGACGCGGCCCTGCGCGCCCACCAGGCGCGTGTAGGCCTCGACCGCCCGTCATCGCTCAACCCGGACATGTTGACGTTCCTGCCGACCATGACGGAACAAGACTCGAACCGCCTCTACACCGTCAGCGAGGCGGGCGCCCCGCGCAGGAGCAAGAGCGTGAAGAGCATGGTGCGGTACGCCATGTCGGACGGTGGGCGTGAGCGCGAGCCCCGCGACACCCGCCCGGCTTCACGCATGTCGTTGTCGCGTTCGGCTTCTCGTGTTTCCCATGTCTCGGAAGCCTCCGACGCGCGCACCATCCGCCGCGCGACGTCGACGGGTCGTATCCAGCTCGATTCCAAGTTTGACACCAACATCGGTGTCGCACCGCCCATGGAGAGCCATGGCCGCGACCAACAGTTTGGTGGGTACACCAACCTCGTCCTGCCGACTGGTGGCGGCTACAAACCGTCACCAAACCCCCTCGGCGAATTGTCCAAGCTCAACTCGCGCGCACTCGGCATGCCCCACGGGTCCATGGCTGCCATCATGTTCAACGCGATTGCCCCTTGGAAAAAACGACCCGGCACCGACACCCGCCCACCTCCGTCACCAGCTGGCACCCCCCGTCGAGTTCACATCGCACGCCAAGCCGCCGACCAAGATTGGCAGCTCGCAGGTCATGGTCCAGGTGTACGCCGTTGCCGTTGACCAGCTCGACATTGACTGCCTGGAACACTTGAAAAAATCCAATGTCGGCAAGTATATTCCCGGCCGGTCCTTTGTGGGTCGTTGCCTAGCTGTCGGGGACAGCGAAAGGGATATAGCCCGCGGCGACATTGTTGTCGGTCTCCAGGACATCCGCAAGTCTGGTGCTTTGTGCGAGTACCTCCTCGTCGAGCGGCGGCGCGTCGCGCGTATCCCGCCGTCCACGACTATGAGCCTCGAGCAACTCGCCGCACTCCCTTTGCAGGGCGTGGCCTGCGTCCGCGCCCTCCGCGGCGTTGTCACTCGCAACACGCGCGCCCTCGTTATGGACGCCCACATGGGCATTCCTGCTCTCATGTGTCAGGAAATGGCCCGGCTGGGCGTCAGTGTCATGGCGGTCATCTCGGGTGGGGATGACCACGCCGCATCCCAGCACGCATGCATGGCGCACGGCGCCAAGGGTGTCCTGACCGGCTCGCCCGCGGCCGTGCTTCTTGGGCTGGAACCGGCCCAGTTTGACATCATCGTCGATACCCGCGGCGGTCCCAAGGTGGTCGAGGCAGCCAAGCGCGCGCTCGTGGACGGCGGCCGCGTCATCTCCCTCGTGCCGCCAGACCCGGCGGGGACCAAGCCCGAGGACTCGCCGCCGAAACGTAGCAAGAGCCTCAAGAACCTGCGCGCGTCGTTTGTCGGCGGGCGCAAGCACCAGAACGGCCGCGACGTCGTGTTCGAGTACATCCACGCTGCGGGCGCGGGCGAGCCCGAGGTCGACGCTTCGGGTCTGGACTGTCGCGACGTGCTCGAAGAGCCGCTCATGGGGATGCTCAGGCCCGTGGTGGACGGCCAGGTTGTGCCGTTTGAACGCGGGGTCAAGGTGTTCGAGACCATGAGCAGGTTGGAGGGCCTGGCTGGTGGTGTGCGTGTGGTGCGGCTTGTCAACTAGATACATATATATATTATAATTTCCACAGCCGTCGTTCTGACTCCCCCCCCACTGTATTTCTTAATACATCTGCATCTGCATTGTTATCATAACTCGCTGGCATCTGGGGTTTGGCGTGAACAACAGACTCTCGACGTTGTAGCCACGCAGAGACACCTTGTCATCTCGTCCGGTCTTCTGGAATGCTGCCCCCTGATCACATCATCTCGCCCATGTATATTATGTATTTGACCCCCCCTCGTTTGTTCTTTAATTACATCTCGTGCAACAACATGACTCCTAATGCAACCCCAATCGCCTAATCGTTTATTTCATCCACGTTGATACTGGTCGGCGATCATTTAGCGGGATCAAACGGCCCGACTCAACCGGAGATCCCTCCCCCCATCTGTCCAGTAAGATGAGATTCCTAAAACTCGGAGTCGATTGACATCGTCTTGGCCACACCACCCTCCACAAACTAGCACACGTTCTTGCACGACAGATTTACTCTTGTCGAATTTAACACCTCTTCACACACACACAAGGAAAAGGACATTTACCTTTAAAGAGTACTTTTTTGCGCTCTTGCCGTCTCTCCACCACTTTCTACGACTCCACTCCACCAACAACAACCCACGTTCCAACTCGAACCCACCCACAATGTCCGGCGCTGCTACCCCCGCTGGTGTCCCCGCTCCTGCCGTGGACCCCCTCGCGAGCTCCACCATCTCCCTCCCTCCCCAGGCCGCGAGCGGCAACGACCGTGCGCTCAAGTCGAGCTTTGGCGCCGAGTCGTCCATGTCCCTCCTTGTCGAGAGCCTCCAGGACCGCTTGTTGTTCGCCGTCCCCAAGAAGGGCCGTCTGTATGAGAAGGCTATCCAGCTCCTTGCCGGTGCCGACATCAAGTACAACCGCGCCCACCGCCTCGACGTCGCCCTCGTCCAGAACTACCCTATTGCTCTGTACGTCAGCCGCGAGATGCGACCTCTACCTCGCATCTCGCTCGAGTCAACCCTGCAACTTGTGCAACTCAACTTGTGTACTAACACACACCAGTGTCTTCCTCCCTGCCGCGGACATTCCCCGCTTTGTCGCCCTCGGTTCCGTCTCGCTCGGTATCACCGGCCAGGACGTGATCGCCGAGTCGACGCACGCCAGCCAGATCCAGGAGCTCCTCCCCCTCGGCTTTGGCAAGTGCAAGCTCCAGGTCCAGGTGCCCGTCACCGGCCCCGTCCAGACTGTCGAGCAGCTTTCGGGCAAGCGCGTGGCCACCTCGTTTGAGGTCCTCGCTGGCGAGCTGTTCAAGGACGTCGACGCCAAGGTCGGCGGTGGCAAGGCCACTTCGGTCGAGTACGTTGGTGGCTCGGTCGAGGCTGCCTGTGCTCTTGGCATGGCCGATGGTATTGGTGAGTTGAGAGCAATGTGTGGGAGTGTGTTGCCCATTACTGACTCTGTGCCTCCCCGCTCTTGTATGGCATGTTTTCACATACACAGTCGACCTCGTCGGTAAGTTTATGATGCCTGACATTCTGCTCCTCCGCTGACCCGTCTCCCAGAGTCTGGTGACACCATGCGCGCCGCTGGCCTCCACGCCATCCACACTCTCATGTCCTCCGAGGCCGTCCTGATCGCCCCCGCGACCCCGCACGCCTCGCTCACTCCCAACCTTGAGCCCCTCGTCGGTCTCCTCAAGTCGCGCATTGCCGGTGTCCTCGCCGCCAAGAAGTACGTCTATGTCTCGTACAACGTTCAGCGCGCAAATCTCGCCAATGCCCTCAAGATCACCCCCGGTCGTCGCGCCCCCACCGTCTCGCCTCTCGACGAGGAGGGATGGGTTGCCGTGTCGTCGATGGTTGAGCGCAGCAAGCTTGCCCTGACGATGGACGACCTCGAGAGGATTGGCGCCGAGGACATTCTTGTCATGGCGCTGGACAACTGCCGTGTGGGCGTTTAAAATACCGTGGTCCACCGCGTATATATCTGTGCATAGATGGGATGAGAGCGATCTGGATTTTAGTGAGAGGGAGCATGCATGGCCGATGAGACGAGCGCTGTGAACTGGTTTAGCCGTGCAGTGCGGTGGACACTACACTAAAGAGTGCCACACTGACGTTGTCGGCATTACCGGGCTCCCGGCGAGCGGATGTGGGCGACCCGGTCGCGAGCGTTCGCGTCATCGGTGGTTGCGTGGGGGGTGTGGGCGAGTTAAATGCCGCAGCCTGCCAATCGACTCCCACCACTCCTCCAAGTCCATCCACCACCTTCCAACCACCCCACACACACCCCCTCCAACCTCTTTATATCTTATCAAAATGGTCAAGGTGCGTACCACACAGGGCGGGGTGTCACTGCTTGCCGGCGACGACCCGTCCGGTCACCAACCCCCGTCCGACCACCTGGCACACTAGCGCTGACACATGCTCTCCTGTTTGCCCACGTTCACCAAATGCCGCTGTGCCTCCCGATTTAATGCCTCTAGGCTATCGCTGTCCTCAAGGGTGACTCTTCCGTCGCCGGTGTCATCACCTTCACCCAGGAGCAGGAGGGTGGCCCCGTCACCGTCTCGGGCAAGGTGAGTTGGGACTTGTTTCGTGTCTTCTAGATTACCTACCGGCTGGCCCGGAGAGGGGCTTGTGTATACACTGGAATCGTCTGCCTTTTGATTTCGGCCGAGCGGCCCGAGACTTGAATCGCCCGAGGTTGTGGTGACCACGTCCACTGTTACTCAGCAACTCCCGAGTAGCGTCCCCATCCATGCTGTGGCTTGACTCGGAAGTGAGGGGTGGTTTGCCCTGGATGTGATGGTGGAGGAACACAGGGGTTGGGGGACTGGTGTGGCGCTGGATCCGATATCGTTCCGGGTTGAGGAAGGTGGCCCAACTGGGGCTGGCTTTCCAACCGTTGCGACACCAGCGAGGCCCATGACATGGGTGGAGTTGTTACGAGTAGGCTGCTGAGGGTGTGTCGCCCATATGGGGCTGTGGTGTACCACCGCACCAACCCCCCAACAAGCTGTCTCTTTGTCGCAACCCGCGACTCATAGTCACTACCCTCTCATGCCTAGCTGTTTGCGACCCACTTGGGGACCACCTGAGCGACCTCGCTGTTGCGGACTGGCATATGGGTGTGGCGATGAGACGCTCGTCCATCACCCCTCCGCAAAAACGCCACAGACCACTAGAACCTTTATTCATTCCACCAACACACATCCTAACTTCACCAGATCGAGAACCTCGACGCCAACGCCCAGCGTGGCTTCCACATCCACGAGGTAAGTTGCATGCTTTGCTGTGGGCTTGGATATTGACACTTCGGTACAGCTTGGTGACAACTCCAACGGCTGCACCAGCGCCGGCGGCCACTTCAACCCCCACGGCCAGAACCACGGTGGCCCCACCGCTTCGGTCCGCCACGTCGGTGACCTCGGCAACGTTTCGACCGACGCTTCGGGCACTGCCACCATCTCGATCTCGGACAAGGAGATCTCGCTCATTGGCCCCTACTCGATCGTTGGCCGCAGCGTCGTTGTCGTGAGTTATCAGGAATCCCGATACCGGAAGTGAAAGGCCAGCAGCTGACAAACCCCTCAGCACGCCGGTGAGGACGACCTTGGCCTCGGTGGCCACGCCGACTCGCTCAAGACTGGTAACGCCGGTGGCCGCGCTGCCTGCGGTGTCATGTGAGTGTCCTGGGCCGTGTATAGCCGTCAATGGGGGTTCTAGAACGTCCTTTTTTGCGAGCAGCCACGGAAACACCGGTTCGGATTTCGCTGACAGTATCGCAGTGGCATTGCCGCTTAAACGCGACCAACTATTCTACGTACAAAAACTACGGAGAGACGGTTGAAGCTGGGGTGAAGTGAATGAATGCAGTAGTTGATTCAAATGCGTGGCAGGTTCTGGCAACTGCATGTAGTTGTCGAGGTGACCGGACGATGGTGAGAAAGGCGGGGACTGACCTGGTGACTGCACGATGAAGTCACAGGAACGAAGACCAGACATTGAGTTGCACGGGTGACTGGACTGTGGCCGGAAGCAAATCTGTCAGCCTGGACGCGACGACGCGACGCAGGCAGAGCGTAAATGACACACACCTCCACTCACCGCATCCACATCCTCTCATCCATCTCTCTTGCTCTCCTGTCTCTCTCTCTCTCTCTCTCTCTGCCGTATCCTGGTCTCTACCTACCCTCAGCCTAAAGGAGACACCACTATAAAACATCCTCCAACCCCGTTAGCGAAACAACGCAACAATGGGTATCAAGGGTACGCCGCTCGCCCCGCCCACAAACATTCCCCAGATGTATCCCCAGTCAACTGACCTTTCTCTCCAGGCCTCACGGGTCTCCTGTCGGAGCACGCTCCCAGGGCAATGAAGGATCACGAGATGAAGACTGTAAGCTAATCGCTTGTTCCCCGCACAGCTAACAGGCAGCTCTTTGGCCGCAAGGTCGCCATTGACGCGTCCATGTGAGTTGTCTCCTTCGGCATTGCTAGCGCGTCAGCTGACAGACCTCAGGTCGATCTACCAGTTCCTCATCGCCGTTCGCCAGCAAGACGGCCAGATGCTCATGAATGAGAATGGAGATGTAACAAGGTGGGTATGACCTTTCGGCCGTGACTGACCCGTGCAGTCACCTGATGGGCTTCTTCTACCGCACCATCCGCATGGTTGATCACGGTATCAAGCCCTGTTACGTGTTTGACGGCAAGCCTCCCGAGCTCAAGGCCGGTGTTGTAAGTCATCGTCTTTGCTGCTCGACATCAGATACAAGTGCTAAGCCGTTGCCCAGCTCAAGCAGCGTTTCGGACGTCGCGAAGAGGCCAAGGCCGCCGAGGAGGAGGCGCGCGAGACGGGTACGACCGAAGACGTTGACCGCATGTCGCGCCGTCAAGTGCGTGTCACCAGGGAGCACAATGAAGAGTGCAAGCGTCTGCTCTCGTTGATGGGTATCCCCGTTGTCACTGTAAGTTGTCCATCGTGCGTAAAATGACAACTGACAACAAAAGGCGCCAGGAGAGGCGGAGGCTCAGTGTGCCGAGCTCGCTCGTGCTGGCAAGGTGGGTTGCGACTACCGGACTATCTTCTAACCTGCACAGGTCTACGCCGCTGGATCAGAGGACATGGACACACTCACCTTCCACACGCCGATCCTCCTCCGCCACCTGACCTTCTCCGAGGCTAAGAAGATGCCCATCTCCGAGATCAACCTTGACGAAGCGCTCAAGGGTCTGGAGATGACCATGGACCAGGTGAGCTAAAAGTGCGTTCATCTCAGCTGACCCTGTCAGTTCATCGAGCTCTGTATCCTCCTCGGCTGCGACTACCTCGAGCCCGTCAAGGGTGTGGGCCCCAAGACCGCCCTCAAGCTCATGCGCGAGCACGGCTCCCTCGAGAACGTTGTCAAGTTTATCCACAGCAAGATGGCCGACAAGGCTGCCGAGGTTGCCGCTGCTGAAGCCGAGGCTGAGAGCGAGAGCGAGCCCGAGAGTGAGGAGGGCGGTATGATTGTCAACTCGGACGGCGAGGAGGAGCCCGCCCCGCCCAAGCCCAAGAAGAAGACTCCCAAGAAGAAGGGTCCCGGCGGCGGCGGCATGCAGCTGCCTGAGCACTGGCCTTGGGAGGAGGCCAAGAAGCTCTTCGTCACACCCGACGTGACCAAGGGCGACGACCTGGACGTGAGTAAAAGCTCCCAAGCTCCAAGCCCCCCGACCCCACGGCGGCCATCCACTGCCATACTGACGCACGCGCGCAGATCGACTGGAAGCAGCCCGACGTCGACGGTCTCGTCGAGTTCTTGGTGCGCGAAAAGGGATTCAAGGAGGACCGTGTGCGCGCCGGTGCTGCCAAGCTGTCCAAGATGCTCGCTGCCAAGCAGCAGGGTCGTCTGGACGGCTTCTTCACTGTCAAGCCCAAGGTCGACGACGGCAAGGGCAAGAAGCCGGACTCCAAGGCCAAGGGTGCCGCTGGAAAGCGCAAGGCCGACGACAAGAGCAAGGCTGGCGCCAAGAAGAAGAAGTAAACAGCGGGAGGGGGAGTTGGCAGCAGTGATTAGGTAGTAGTGCATGGCTGGAGACCAGAGTCGCGTAGCATGTATCATAATGACGTTGAAATGGGAACAAACCTGGACAGTGGTACCGTTGCTCAAAGGAACAGAGTACGTATAAAACCCCTGGGTATGCATATGACGCGTCCACGGCGTTTTTTTGGCTGTCTATCTAGATGAGATATCTACTGGCAACTCTTCAAACTTCCCATCCGATCAACGATCCGCCCCCAACAACTGCCCGCCTGGCGGCACCGTCTAAGCGGCAAAGTACTTGGCCATGGCGGCCTTGCGCATCTTGTCCGAGGGCGCGTGCTTGCCAGTCCAGAGCTCAAACTGCTTGAAGCCCTGGAGACAGAGCAGCTCAATGCCAGACACGGCCGTCCAGCCGGCAGCCTCACCGGCCTCGAGGAGGGCGGTCTTGTACGGCTTGTAGGCCATGTCAATAGCGACACCGCCCTTGGCCGCGAGGACCGAGGGAGGCAGGTAGATGGCCTCGTTACCGGGGACGGTGGTGAGGGAGGCTCCGGGGACGGTGGAGACGACGACGGCAGGCTGGGCCGGGAGGTTCTCGAGCGACTCGACAACGACGATGCCGTACTCCTCGGGGAAGGCGGCGGCGACCGCGTCGGCGTTGGGACGGGTGCGGTTGAAGAGCATGATGGTGCGCGCGCCAGCCTGGTGGAGAGCGTAGATGGCGGCGCGGGTGGTGCCGCCCGCACCGATCACGAGGGTGGTGAGACCGTCAGGGCCCGACGCGAGGGCCGGGTTGAGGTTCTCCTGCGTTGCCTGGCGGATAGCGCGCCAGTCGGTGTTGTCGCCGTGCAGCTCGCGCTGGCCATCGGCGCCAACACGCGGGATAATGGTGTTGACGGCACCAATGACCTTGACGTGGTCGCTGACCGCATGCAGCTGCGACATGATGTCGAGCTTCAGGGGGATAGTCACGGCGGCGCCGCCAAAGTCGGGGTCGGCGAGGACAGCCTCAAGCGCGTCATCGACAACGGCAGTCTCGTGCTTGTCAAAGACGTGGGGGAAGCCAAGAGTCTGGAAACCAGTGTTCTGGATCTCGGGGGAGCACGAGGCACCAACGGGCGAGCCAAAGAGCCAGAACTTTTTAGGTCGCTCCAGACCAACAAGGGCACGCGCCTGGATAAGCTCGTACGAAGTCAGCTGACCGGGAGCGGCGCGCAATGGGAGAGCCGAGTGGGTGACCGGGGTCATGACGGGGTTGAGGACACGTGAAAGCTGGCCAATGGGGCCCATGTTGATAGCGAGGAGCGGCTTGTTGGTGGGGTCGGCACGCTTGCGCTCGGCAAAGAGAGCAAGGGCAATGTTGTCCTGAGTGCTGAGGGGAGTGCCCACAATCTTGACAATGTCGCCAATCTTGGAGCCCTCGGCAAACTTGGCGGCCACCTCGGGGCCGTCCCACTTCATCTTGCCAGTCCAGTCGTGCCACGAGGCAATAATGGCACTCTCGCCCTTGGCGGCGTGGACTGCCGCAAGGACCTCACCGGGCCACGCCAGCTCAAGGTCAACGTACTCGGCCGCCATGCGGAGGCCAAGCTGAACGAGGTCGGCGTAGCCCTTGGGGTCATTCGAAGGGACGAAGCCGCCCTGGTTCTTGGAGCGGACGGCGTAGACGATGGGCAGGTCCGACACAAGACGGAGCTTGGCCAGCTGCTTGGCAACAAAGTCCGCAGGCGGGATGGTAGGGGTGGTGGGGGAAACGCCGTCGGGCGAGAGGAGGTCGACACGGAGCTCGATGGCATCGGCGCCCTCGGTGAGCTCGTCCATGTTGAAGTAAGCGAACTCGAGGTCGGGGTAGGTGAGCGACAGGAAGGACGTCGGCTTGGCGTTGGGGCCCGCGATGAGTGGGCGGTTGGTCGCACGGCCGGTCACAAACTTGAAGAAGCGCTCACACTCGTTGCGCATAGCGCGGTGGTGGTCGTCCTGAGTCTGGCCACCGAGGGGTTCCAGAATGTTCATAAACTCGTGCGAGCGGCACCCAGCGAACCAGGGCATGCGACGGCGGTACACGTCGGCAAACTCCTCACCCCACTGGGGACGCTGAGCCGTGCCACCAATCTTGTCGAGGTAGGCCGCAATGTCCTCGAGGTCACGCTGGATGTGGACGACGATACCGCCGCTGGCGACATGGGATGCCAGCATCTTGCGGGCAGCCTCAGTCTCGACGACACCGCCACCAAGCGAGATAACGTGGTTGCCACGCGTCTCCTTGATGAAGTCGGCGAGGATCCTGGTCTCGGTCTCGCGGAACGCGGGCCAACCGTTGTCTGCCACATACTCGGCGACGGTCTGGCCAACCTTCTCAATGAAAACGGCGTCGGCGTCCGAGTACTCGCCACCAAGGGCCTCGGCGGCAATCTGGCCAATGTACGTCTTGCCGGCGCCGCGCATACCAATCAGGAAGACGGGCTTGTTCTGCGCCACGGGGCCGCCCGAGGTCGACGCCTGGTTGTGGGTGTCTAGCTCGACACCGTCAAACTGGATACCAATCTTGTTCTGGAGGTCGTCCCAGAAGTTGGGCCACGTCTTCTCGACACAGCGCTTCTCCTCGAGGATGGTGCCGTCGATGAGGCAGCCAAGAACGGCGTGGGCCATGGCGACGCGGTGGTCGTCGTAGCAGTGGACGGAGACACCGGTGTTGAGCGACTCCCACTTCTTGCCAAAGAGGATGATTCCGTCGTCAAACTCGTCGCTCTCCACTCCAAACTTGGCCAGCTCGTCGCGCATGGCCTTGATGCGGTTGCACTCCTTGACACGCTGGTTGGCAATGCCGTAGATGCGCGAGCCGTTGGCGGGGAGACCCTCAACCTCGCGGCCGGGGAGGCATGGGAGTGTGGCGACAGCAGCGAGAACCGAAGCAGTCAAGAAGGCGTCGGTCATGGGCTCCATGTCGACGTTGCCGAGGGCACGGAGCTGGCCAACAGGGGGACCAGTGACCTTTGTGCTGGTCGCAGTCTGCTCCACGATGCAGCCCATGGGCTCGAGAACCTCCTTGGCGAAACGAGCATCACCCTGGAGCGAAGCCGAGCCAATGTTGGAGATGGTGCAGGTAGTGCCGGTAATGGCAGCAATGGCGAGAGGGTAGGTAGCGCTCGAGGCATCCGACTCGACGTTGTACTCGGCGGGGTTGACGTAGACAGCCTTGGGGATGACGTAGACGTCGAGGAGCTTGCCGCTGGCATCCTTCTGGCGCTCGACGTGAACACCAAACTGAGCCATCATGGCAATGGTCATGTCAATGTAGAGCTGCGAGATGACCTGGCCGCCGATGAGCTCGAGAGTAATCTGCTCGCGAGCGTAGGGAGCGCAGAGGAGGATCGACGAGACATACTGGCTCGAGACCGAAGCGGCGAGCTGAATGTGGCCACCCTTGAGGCCGTCGACGCCAATCATAAGCGGAAGGCAGCCGGCGCCCTCGAGGTACTGAACCTCGGCACCGTTGGCCTTGAGAGCGTCGACAAGAGGACCAATTGGGCGCTGCTTCATGCGAGCGTTACCGGTAATCACGGTCTGCTTATCCTCAGTGGGCTGCACAATGGCACACACGGTGGTAAGGAAACGAGCAGCGGTACCGGCGTTGCCGAGGTAGAGCTCCTTGCCGTTGGGGGGAGGCGAGAGCTTGCCCTCGCCGCCTTCGACGACAATGGTCTCACCTCCGTCCTCCCACGAAAACTTGGCACCCTTGAGGTCGGAGAGCGCGTTCATCATGACGGCAGTGTCGTCCGAGTGGAGGAGGTTCTTAACGCGACATGTACCCTTGCCAAGAGCGGCGAGGACAAGCGCACGGTTCGAGAGCGACTTGGAGCCGGGCGTGGCCATGGTCACGGGCGACTTGGTAGGGATACCGGCGATGACGGTGGCCGACTCGCAAAGGACCTTGCGGATAACCTCGTCGGCAACAACTGTAGCCTTCTCCTCGTAGGTCTTGCCGATACGGCTAAGAATAACAATCTTCTTGGCGGGGCCCGAGTTCTTCTTGTCAATGCGCATAATGTCAAGGAGACGGTCGACTGTCAGCTGCGAAGCAGCGGGGAGTGAGGCAATGCGGCGGTCCGACATTGAGACGGGGAGACCGTAGGCCGCACAAGCGCGAGTAAGGCGGCCAACAGCCACCTGCGAGAGGACACCCAGCTGGCGGGCAACCTCGGCCTCGAGGATCATACCGATGGCGACGCACTCGCCGTGGAGAATGGTGGGAGTGAGGACGGCCTCGATGGCGTGACCAATAGTGTGGCCAAAGTTGACGAGGTTACGGAGACCAGTCTCGCGCTCGTCAATGGTGACAATGTGGGCCTTTACGTAGATCGAGCCCGAGACGACCTTGAGAAGGAGCGCCTGGGGCACTGAACGGTCCTTCTCAAAGCGGCCGTTGACACCCTCAGCCTTGGTAACAACCGCCGACGAGATCTCGGCAGCACGCGACTCGAGGTCGGCAAAGTCGTCGGCCTTCCAGATGGCGGCAGTCTTGACGACCTCGGCCATACCGTTCGAGAACTCGCGCTGATTCAACGTAGAGAGGAACGCCAGGTCGACAAAGATGTACGACGGCTGCCAGAAGGCGCCGATGAGGTTCTTGCCGTGCGGGGTGTCAATGGCAGTCTTGCCGCCGACCGACGAGTCGACCATGGCCAGGAGGGTGGTCGGGATCTGGACAACCTTGACGCCACGCATGCTTTTGGTAGGTGCACGGTTAGCCACACGTTCGTGGGTGTCGGACCACAGTGCGCCACTTGGACGACGCGTCCGTTTTTTTCAAGAGCTACTTACAAGGTGGCAGCCACAAAGCCGGTCAGGTCGCCGATAACACCACCGCCAAACGCGAGGATGACAGTGTCACGGGTGCACTTTTCGTCGAGCAGCCAGTCCTCGATCTCCGCCTTGACCTGGCGGGACTTGGCACCCTCGCCAGGCGCGACCTGGTGGGTCAGGAAGCGGGCCTTGGAGCCAGTCTCGGCGGCAGCGACGTTGAAGGCCTCCTCCAGCTGAGGGAGGTAGAGGCGGGCGAGGTTGGTGTCGGTGATCAACGCATAGGTGCTCGAGGGGAGGGTGGTGAGGACCTGGTTGAAGATGTAAGGAATGAGATGGAAGCCGACGTGGATCGACTCGTTTCCAAGAATGGAGATCTTGAGCACGTCGGCGAGGTCAGACATCTTGGGCTGATGTCTGCGTACGCGCGAGACTGATGCTCTTTCGGTGAGAGAGGGGAGGGGGGAGGTGGGGGAGGTGGGGAGGAGAGAGAGAATGGACGAGGAGGGAGAGATGGAGGACGGTCGAGCCCATTGGCTTTTTTCAAACAGCCAGAGCCCCGGGCCAGTGGGCCGGCCACTGCGCACGCAACAGACTCTTGAGATTGACTCGACCGTCCCTGTCCTGCGGGTGGGTTTTGGGTGGGGAAATCCGGGGGTAGGTTCCTGGCGGAGGGAACGGGACACGGACACCATGTGTATCTCCGCTGCCCCGTAACAGTGCCACCCAACATTTCCTAATTGCCTAATAGACTGTTTGTAATCAGGCATGGTGTCTAGTCCGGTGTCCCGGCTGGGCGGAGAAAACGGGCCGACAACGTGGGGGGGCAGTCGCCAGTCGCGGCCAGTCGCCGCGTGTGCTGCCTGGCGGCAGACATTACCATTCCAGTACTTTGTTACTCCGTTTGCCCTTGTCGCCCATACGTCGTGCTTGTCCATCCATCCAGTCACCATGCCCATCCGCAAGCTCTCCATCTCGCGCAAGGGCTCCTCAAACGACATGCGCGCCCTCAACGGCAGCCTTCGCGGCGACAAGCCCCCAGTCTCCATCGGCTCCCGCGCAAGCTCGACCGTCGGCGACGACGTGGACGGGCAGGCATCCGGGTCGTCGTCGCCGCGTCGAAAGCAGTCACTGGCGTAAGTTGCCCCCTCCAACACTGTGCTCTCTTTTCTTTTGGTCTTTTCTTTTTTGGCTGACTGCTCCCAGGGTTAAGAGCAAGCGTCGTCTCTCGGCAATCTTCAACTCTGGATCGCAGCACAGCAAGGCCGACCGTTCCAGGGAGGAATCGCCAGTGTTGGCGTCATCTGGCGCGAACGGAGCGTCCGGCGCGTCGACCCCGACACTCGATACAGTGGCCAGCAAGTACTCCACCCTCGACTCCAAGGGGCTCCCCTCAGTCCCCTCGGTGACAAGTGAGACCAGCGACGCCCTCTCGTCTGGCATAAAAGGTCTCAACGTCGATGCATCCACGCCCCAGCCCATTGCTCTGCCTGTGGCTTCTGCCCCGGTTAGTCTCTCGCCCGAGCCGACGCTAGTGGACTCGCCCGACCGCACTCGCCCCATCTCCACCTTGTCTACCCCGCAACGTGCTGCTCGTGTTCACAGCTTGTACACGCAGTGGGCCGAGTACTCGGACAGTGAATCGGAGGACGATGGAGCTGGCTATGCCACTCCGTCCGAGGGTCTCAGTGACCTCGAGGAGGAGGACGAGGACGAGGAAGGGACCGGGACGGCTGCTTCAAAGGCCAACGGTAATGGCTCAGCCACTAAGAGCACTCGCCTCAAGCTCTACCGTAGCGAGGCCGGCGCGGCCAAAGTGACTCATCAGCCATTCAAGCGTGGTGACCCTCTCGCCATTAACCAGACGGCTGCCCTTGCGCCCGATCTAGACGTGTGTCGTGCCGTCATCACACTCTTCCTTTCGAGTAAAATGCGTGAGGCTGAGGACCTCCTCGTTGCCAAGGACGCCGACAACAACCACCTCTACTTGCAGATGGGTCACAGTCTCATCCAGTGCCTCAAGGGCATGATGACCTTTGACTCGGAAGACCTCACCACCGCTCTGGACATTGCCAAGGCTACTTCGCTCACCGCAACGACACTCCGTCGTCCTACCGAGTCTGTTCTGAGCAAGATTGGCGGTCTCGTCCGGTCTGGCCATGGCGTTGCGCGTGTTCGCCAGATGTCGGCTCTCGAGCGCCACGCCGAGCTCGTCTATGCCGAGACTGTCCTCATCAAGGCCATGGTGGCGATCGTTGCGGGAGGGGACTGGCTCGGCCTCATCAAAGAGGCCCTCAACATGCGCACTGCCCATGGCATTTACCGCAACCTCCAGCAATATTTGGACGAGTCGGATAAGGACGGTTACGACGACGATATCGACATGGACTTCCGATCGGGTGTGCTGCTGGGCACGGGTACTTCGTCCCTCATGCTGTCCCTCTTGCCAGGCAAGGTTCTGAAGCTGGCGGAAGTGTTCGGTTACGCGGGTGACCGCACGATCGCACTCAAGACTCTCATGTCTGCCGGCGGTTGGAGCGACGACTCGGAACTTCCAGCGTTCAACCAGACCAACGAGGGCATCCGTCGTCCTGTCTGTGACATGATTCTGCTGACATTCCACCTTGTCATCTCGGTCCTGATGCCTGTCTCTGGAGTGGACATTCCCGCCGCGCGCAAGATTCTGGCCTACAACATGAAGCGGTACCCCGATGGTGAGTCGGAAAGGTTAAGAAACGGTGCGGGGTGGCTCACTTCTTCAGGTGTCTTCTTCCTGTACTTCCAGGCCCGCCTGTTCACCAACCAATGCGAGCCTGAGCTCTCGAACGAGAGCTTGCAACACGCACTCAACCTGCCGCTTGAGTATGTCCAGTTGCAGCACATGTGTCTGTGGGACTATGGCTGCAACTACTTGCAACTCAACAACTGGGACGGCGCGCGTCAATGCTTTGAGATTCTGCGTGCCGAGTCCAACTGGAGTCGTGCAGTTTACACCTAGTGAGTCAAAGCCTGAAGGTTGATCCGCTGACAATGATCAGCGCCACCGCTGTCAGCATCATGGAGCTTATCTCGTGCGAGGAGCATCCCGAGGCCACCCCAGAGGCTGTCGTCGAGCTTGTGCAGCTTATCCCCAAGCTCACCAAGAAGATTGCCGGCAAGTCGCTCCCCATCGAAAAGCTTGTTGCTCGCAAGTCGCGCAAGTTTGCTTCGCAGGGCAACCGTCTCTTCCTCCCGGCCATGGAGCTGGCATATGTGTTTGGCTCTCTGGGTTTCACACCCCGCCGTGTCCTCTTGTCCAAGTGGCTCCCACACATCAACGCCGAGCTGGCAAAGCTCGAGGCTTCCACTCCGGAAGCGTGGGGCAGCGGCGTCGAGTACTGGGACGACGCTGTGCTCGGCCACTTCCTCCGTGCCATGGTTCAGTTCATCTCCCGTTACCAGCCGGCGGATGCTGCCGACAGCGCACGTGTCCACCAGCCTGGCGAGCCCAGTGACGAGGACCTGGATGCTGGTGCTGAACGCGACTTCCAGTTTGTCATTGACCACTCGACCGACGTGCGACTCGACCACTACATCCTGTTCCACAACCACTACGAGATGGGCCGCCTGTACGCTCGCCGCGGCGACAAGGCCAACGCACGGATCCACTTTGACGTTGTCATGAACAACAAGCTGCCAGTGCCCAACCCGCACATTGGCAAGACGGCTGGAAAGTACTCGCTCGAGGGCGCGTTGCAGATCAAGACGCACGCAGCCATGCAGGGTCTGAAGGAGTCTGCGTAATAGATATTTATGAGGAGGCTGTGGGTCGTGGGCTGTAGCCATTCTTGCTTTTGTAGTTGGTATATGGGGATGGAGTTGTTATAGACGCGAGCGATTATGTGGGCCGTGGGCCGGGTGCCACACTCGCATGGCTGTGGGCGGCGTTATTTGCGCGCCTAACAGCGCGGAATCAAAAAATGGTTACCGACGCTTGACCTCCACCCCACACGGCCCACACACCACCCCGCGCACCGCCCACGCGGTTACTGCCGAGAGACCGCAGACACGCAGGGTTCCACCTGAAGAGAAGGGTTTGCTGCAAACGTCTTTCTTCTCCATACCATCTCTCCCCATCGTTTTGGTATCCGGTCTCGCCATCGGGCTCATTTGCCCCGCCGTCGTCTCCCCTCTCTCGCGTCGCACGTGTGGATAAACCGCACGGCACCCTGACTGTGAGTTGTTGAACAAAAGTCGTCGAGCACCAAGGCAATGTTTTGAGTCAGCCTCCAAGTGTTCCTTGACAGTTTCGGTGGCGCACGCGACCCCGACTTATTTGGGACGACAACGAACGAGTCTCAAGCAACAGCGCTGACTCCTCTTTTCAGGTGGCCTGGTCTCCTCACCCGAGACGGCGGCCGATCCGACAACCCCCTCATACAAAAAGTGCCAGTATGAGCACCACTGTGACTGAAACGCTGCGTCTTCGGACCGGTGTCGTCCACGCGCAGGCGTGGAACGACCGCGCCAACGCCACTTCGGTGGCGCAAACCCGGCCAGCTGTGTCTACTACGGCTGAGTTGTCGCGTGCGCTTGACAACTCTGTCGAGGGTGCGCGTCTCCCAACTGTTCCCCAGCGCGCTGCCCGTCTCCAGCTCCAGCCCCAGCTGCCGCACCCGGCCCTCACCACGCCGGTGTCTGATGCCAGCATTCACGCCCTGGTTGATGCTGTGGTCGCCGCTCGCGACTCGGGCAACCTCGCCGGCCACTCGGACGAGTCGGCATTCTTCGCTGCCGACCTCTCGGCGGTGTACGACTCGGTCATGACCTGGCGCAACTCGCCCATTGGCGAGCGTGTGGAGATCTTCTACGCGGTCAAGTGCAACCCTTCGCCCATGGTTCTGCACCTGCTCTCGCTCATGGGCACGTCGTTTGACTGTGCCTCGACCGCCGAGATCCAGCAGGTGCTTGCGCTGCCCTCGGCGCCCGACGCCGACCGCATCATCTTTGCCAACCCTTGCAAGCCGCCTAGCTTTATCCGCAACGCGCAGCAGAACGGTGTCCAGATGATGACGTTTGACAACGCCGACGAGCTCCACAAGATCAAGCGCATCCACCCCAACGCCAAGCTCGTCATCCGCGTCCTGACTGACGACTCCAAGTCGCTCTGCCGTCTTGGCCTCAAGTTTGGTGCTCCCGTGGACACCTGCTCTGGCCTTCTCCAGCTCGCCAAGGAACTCGGCCTGAACGTTGTCGGCGTCAGCTTCCACGTTGGCTCGGGATGCAAGGAGCCCGAGCAGTTTGCCGACGCCATCTGGCGCGCTCGCCGCGTCTTTGACATGGGCGCTGCTGCTGGCTACAACTTTGAGCTCCTCGACATTGGTGGCGGTTTCGAGCGCGAGACGTTTGCCCAGATGTCGGATGTCATCAAGCAGAACCTCGACCTGTACTTCCCCCTCGAGGAGGGTGTGCGCGTGATTGCCGAGCCGGGACGTTTCCTCGTCTCGTCGGCCTTTACGCTCGCCACGAGCATCATTGCCCGCCGTCGCGCTCTCGACGCCGCGGCTGCCCCGGCTCCCACCGAGGGCGAGGCCGAGGGCGCCGACGTCATGTACTACATCAACGACGGCGTCTACGGCTCGTTCAACTGCATCATCTTCGACCACCAGATTGTGCACCCTTACCCTCTCACCATTGGCAACACCCCGGCCCCCTCGGCCGCCCGCCCGGCGTTCCCCCCTCCCCCCAACGTCGAGATGCCCACCGACCTCACTGTCCAGCTGGGCTACAACTCCACCGAGCGCGCTTCGGTTTGGGGCCCTACCTGCGACTCGATCGACTGCGTTCGCTCCATCGTCAACCTGCCCCGTGGTGTCGATGTTGGTGACTGGCTTGGCTGGGGTGAGATGGGTGCCTACACCCTCTGTGCTGCGAGCACTTTCAACGGCTTTGACCGCTCCCCTGTCCACTGGACCACTGGCGGCGATGCCCCCCACTCGGCCCAGGTTCGCGCTGTGCTTGACTCGTTCCAGCCTAGCGCATAAACTACCTAGCCCATACATAGATAATGAATCACGTTTGGTACTGGCATGCGTGCGTGCGTTGTTGCAGGATGATAAGGGGCGAGCGGAGCGTTGCGATGGTTGGTTTTGTGACGGCTGGGCAATGGATGTATTTTCAGGAACGACGCGTCAATATGACTGACCGAAGACGCGTCCAGTCAACTGCAACTAACACTCGCTCAACCCGGTGATACACATTGCTTTCACTGTATTTGCACAACGACCACAGCCAATTCACTTTATTTCCTCCATCACGACCTCATGATAGCATAGAACGCCAAGTAAGCGCCCCCTCACGATGAACAGCTCTGACAGCAGCATGCCTGACCAGCCTGCCGCTGGGCCATCTTCCACCACCCCCTCTGATCCGCCCCAACCACCCTCGTCTTCCTCCCTCGACCCCCCTGGACAGCCCTCGTCGAGCCGTACACTTTCAGCATTATGGGGCGCCCCATCTTCATCTGCTGCCGCTCTCCAGCGCTCAGCGTCTAATACCTCCAACCCGCCTCCAGCTCGTAAGAGGAAGAAGAATGACGCCGCTCCAACACAGGCCCGCCTTACCTTTAGTGTCGACGGCGTTGGCGTCACTGCTCCTCCCCCGCCCCCTCCAGCTCCTCCACCAGCTCCAGCGAACGGCGACAGGAAGCGCAAGCCCAGGGCAAAGCGCAAGCCTGACGGTGAGTTGGGGGGTTCCCTTGTTGGGCAGTGCTGATCACCAAGGCGACACAACAACGAACGCTTCGCCAAAGAAGCGTGGCCGTCAACCAGCTGCCACCTCGAGCGCAGTGACTCCCGACCCTGCACCAGCGTTTGGGGGTCTCCCCATGTCGCCCGACTCGCCCGAGATCATTGTCCTCTCATCTGACATGCCGGAGATTGTGGTCACTGGCTCGTCGGATGCCGACATTATCGTGACGGGCGGAACGGCGCGCAAGCGGTCCAGTGACGGAAGGCGCCGGGTCACCGCCGATCCGTCCTTGCCTACACACTCGTTCTTCTCGCGCCGTGCAGACCCCGATCCTACAGCTCCTCTTCCCGCTACCGCGTCCGTAGCCACCTCGAGGTCGACCACTGCAACTGCTCAGCCCAGCGACGCGGCATCGGGCACCACCACGCCAGCGGCTCCGAAGCAAGTCCACTCGTTTTTCAACCTCGCTGCTCGCGACGAGCCAGGAAAGCTCAAGAATGGCTGGGGATGCTGCAAGGAGGGCGAGGAGCCGGCTGCACCCTGGCCTGGAGGCGAGTGGCCAGCGCACGTTGACGCTCCGACCGCCGAGCCGGCAGAGGGCCGGCCAAGGATGTTCGCCCTGCGTGCACCTCAGTCCCACGCCGACACCAACGGTGTCCACGATCACAACGATCACATGTGGATCTCGCGTGACCCCGGGCCATCCAGGTCTCGCCCTAGCGAGACCGTTGTCACGGCCCCGCCGTTCATCATGGCCCATCCCGCAATCACTGCCGTGTCCGGTACGACTTTGGACGGGCGCGAGTCGTGGTGCGAAGCCCATCGCCCGCGGACAGCCGCTGCTGTCCTAGGAAACGAGGTGGAGGCAACATACCTGCGCGACTGGCTCTCTGCGCTTTCTGTCGGCGGACATGAGGGACGCCGCGTGATCAGACGCATGCCCCGTGGCCGTGCCGTGGATCCGGACAAGTCCTGGATTGTGGACGATATCGGCATGTTTGGCGAGCCATTCACAAACGATGTGTACGCCAACGACGACGAGGAGGTTCCCGAGCCCGTCGAGGAACCCATCTTGCCCCTTGGTGCGCGTCCAGATGCCTATCCACCCATCGGCAAGTGGATCGGAAACTCGATTCTCCTCTCTGGCCCTAGTGGATGCGGCAAGACAGCAGCAGTGTACGCCGCAGCAAACGAGCTGGGCTGGGATGTGTTCGAGGTGTATCCGGGCATCGGCAGGCGTACCGGCACCAACCTCCTAGCACTCGTTGGTGATGTTGGCAAGAACCACATGGTCACGGAGAAGAAGGAGAAGCCGAAGAGCACCGCCGAAGCTGCCACGGCCTCCTTCTTTGGAAAGGTCCAGCCGAAACCCAAGGTCCTCCCCATGCCCAGCAGCCAGGGCAGTGCCAATGACCCGATCTCGCTGGACGACGAAAGCGACCCCCAGTCTGCCATTGAGGTTCAGCAGCCCACGCCTGAACTGGTGCCCGAGCCCAAGACGGAAGTCAAGACGAAGCAGTCACTCATTCTGATTGACGAGGCAGACATTCTCTTTGAGGAGGAAAACACATTCTGGCCAGCAGTGATCTCACTCATTGCCGAGTCGCGCCGTCCAGTGGTCATCACTTGCAACGGTGAGTAGTTTCCGGAATGGCAGGACCGTTTGAGCTAAACCTTCAGACCCCGGCCGCATACGCGACAATGTTCCGCTGCAGACGACGCTCCACTTCTTCCCTGCACCAGGGTATCTCGCACAACCGTATTTGGACTCGATCGCAAAGCACCACGGGGTCCACACAGACGTCGCCACGCTGTACGCCCAGTGTAGCCACGAGCCTCTCGACCTCGTGGACCAGCCGTTGCCTCCCAACGGAAACGAGCCCGCAGCCAACTTTGACTTGCGTGCTGCGATTACGCAAATGCAGCTTGACCGCAGCAAGCCTGCGGAGCGTCGTGAACCAGCATCCGAAGTGGAACCTCGCGGCGACTTTGCCGACGTCGTGCGCCGTCTCGAGTCGGTGTCATTCGCCGATGCGTTCGTCGCCCCACGCGCGTGGGCTCGGATGGAGGTTGCAGACGTTGACCATCTTGAGCACGGCCCCGACGACCAGGAAGGCCTCGCTCAGCTTCTCAAGCTCGACGTACAGGAATTGCACCCTACGCTGGCTGCCTATGACTACTCTGCGGACATGGCGGCCACGCTTGTCGCCCTCGGCGGTGGTCCATTCACGGACGACCACAAACTGCAGCTCACGCAGACGGCCTATGTGCGCAGCCTCCTCCCAGTCCTCGACCCACTCGTCAATCTCTCCATGCGCCTCCTGCCCGATCCGACTCTATTCCTCGAGACTGTCCCGGTGGTGTCCAGCCTGGTCCGCGCCGACGACTTGGCCGAAGTGGCATTCTACGCAGACATTGCCGCGGGGAAGCGACCCTTGAACCGCCGTGGTCGGGCGATGCGCATAACGCAATACATGGAGACACGCACCTACGAGCGTTACCTGGGTACCATTCCGCCCGATGGACTGGAAACCGCACGCACGATGAGCTTGGAGTGGAGGGCGTGACTGAGAGTGGATTCGAACGAGACGGGGCTTGGTAACGAGCGTGTGTAGATTGGTTGGAGAAAGCAGACAAGCAACGAGTTCCAGCAGGGCAGTGCCATTTCATCAGGTACCAATACATTTTTACCACGGTAACCAGGCCGTGTCCCATGCATGCATGCATATCATCATTGTACACCAAACAGACAACAATAGCAAACACGAGCCGGCGGCACAGTGTTGCGACGCGCCTTGTTTTTGCGTCACACAGACGCGCCACGAGTGCACCCACCCTTGAATCTCACTCAACGGCCAGGCACCAACTCTGTCGGTGCGCGCACCACACTTGATTGCAACTGTTTCCCACCTGCTCTTGTCCCATCGTTCGTCCATCGCGCCATGCTTCATCAACGTCGCCGTCAACCAGAAGGGGGTGCCGCGCCTCCCCCTCCGGTCTCCACCTCCAAGCCCTCCAACAACGCCTACGTGCCGCTGCGCCGTCCCAGCGGCTCCGCACTGCCCCCTCCACCTGTCCCCGGCGAGCCCAACGGCTTTGACAGCTACAACGGCGGGAGCTACGGCCACCTCGCGTCTGGAAGCTACCACAACCCATCGGTAGCTTCCGCGCCCTCGCTCCCAAGGGTGGTGGGGCAAGGACAAGGATACACGCCGAGCCACGGCAGGGGCATGTCCCTCGGTCTGGGCGGCGGTCCGTTCAGCCCCGCCGTCGAGTTTACCGACGACACGGACGCGTCCGCCGTGGGCCAGGCGCGGCGCGCTATCGAGGCCGTGAGGAGCGGTGTACGCGATGCGGTGCGGCTGGACAGGAGCATGGGGCTCGTGTGGGGGTGAGTACTGCGCGACGACGTGGGAACGTCTGCGGAAACGATCACTGTTCCCCGGTTCTCGACGGCGGGCAGATGCAGCGCTGACGCAGTAGCGACATGGAGCTCCGCAGCCTCGTGCTCAAGGTGACGTGAGTGCCATATCGGGTAGGCGCAAGACTCGGTCCAGCTGTTCGCTTGGTCGGGCCAGCTGGCTGCAGCTGGCGAGCAACTTGACGGAGCCGACGCATACGAGCTCACTCGGCGGCTAGTTGGCTTACTCTCCAGGCTCATCAACCTTCTGTCCTTGCTCCTGTTGTCAATGTTCCCTCTCGTCCTCTCACCCATCTTCCAAAGCCAGGGTATTGCGGATGGTGCAGCTACGCGGACCCGCGAGATTGGATTCTGGTACAATGTCCTTCTTAGCTGGCCGACGTTTGCCGTGTGTTTCTGGATCAACGCGATCTGGGGTCCAGACGTGGCGAGGAGGGCCCAGGCGATGCTGCATCCTGCGTGAGTGTGAAGTGTGACTGTTTGGCCGTAGGCGGTTCGGAGAGCTACGAAGCCGACCAGTCAGCCAGCTCGTCGGCGGCTCTCGCCCTTGGCAGAGGGCTTAGGCCCGTTGCTGCCCGGAGGCTGACGCACCACCAGATACCGCCTCTCGTCGTCGACGGCGCCTCAAAACCCCGCGCCGACAGTCTTCTCCGATCCTGTGGCCTGGGCTTGGGTCACGGTCATGCGTCTCCTCCTCATTGCGGACTTTACACTCGTTGGTCGCACCATTGCTCTCGTCCCCGTGCTCGGTGTGCCAATTGGGCTCGCGTACATGTCGCTCATCAACTGTTACTACCCCTACGAGTGAGTCCTGGGTGCTGGTGACTGGCGTATCTCCACACCAGCGTAATACCAGTTCAAGTGCTGATACCTACAGGTGGATCTTCACTGCTCGCGGATGGTCACTTGACACGCGTTGCAGCTATATTAGCGACCGCTCAGCCTACATGCTCGGCTTCGGTGAGTGTTAAGCCGATTTTGTCGCCGTCTAACACACAGGTCTTCCTGCCACACTACTCACCTCGTTCGGGCCGCCTCTGGTCAACATGGCCGTCTTCGCGCTCATTTACCCTTTCGTAAGCTGTTGTGAGGGGGGATAGGTGGCTCCTATGCTCGGTCCCCCACGCCTCATCCATATATTTATACCAACTCACACCTCTCAGCTTCTTATCCAGGCCCTCCAGTCTCGCCCGCCTAGCGTCCACTCGCTGCTCCCCGCGACCCCCAGCCCAGGCTCGTCCAACCCCACCACGCCGACCAGCGAGTTGCCCCCTTCGCTCCTCACCATGGGGCACGTTGGTGGGAATGGCGGTGGCCTTGGAGCGGCGTCATACACCAGCGGTCCCATTGTTCGAGTTCCCGTATTTTTCTTTGCGCGTCATGCGCTTTCGGGCCTGCAGTGGCTCGCGGACGCCGTCGCCAGGGAAAGGGGAGGTTACGCGGCCAGCCGGCGTCGTGGACCGAAGCGTGCGTTTTGAGAACCGCACAGCTTTTCACGGGGCAAACTGGGACATTAGAGGAACGACGGTAGTTAAGGAGTGTGCAGTAGTAATGTCCAGGACATTGGAGGAACGTCGCCTGGAGCGTGGCCGTGGAGATGGTCTGTCAAAATCTACAATATGGGCGTTATAGAGGCAATGTTCATGAAGTCGTCTAGTCGTCTAATTGGGGATGATGCGAAGCCTGATTTCGAAGCCTGATTTTTTCATCGCGACCAGGGCCACCAACAGACCTGGTCATCGACATGGCAGTACCATGCTTTCTGCAGTGACGATAGTGGTAGCCTCTCGTTTGCTCGTGAACGTGACTGTTAATGGGGATGGTTACACGCGGGCCTTCTTATACCGATTGCGCTAAACTCAGTCTCAATGTCCCAGGAAGAAGAGTATACTAACTTCTCGGTCGTGCGGGTTCTTTGGTGTCGTCCTCAGCCAGTGGAGTGGGAGCAACTAGTGGCCGCAGTGAGCATGCAACGTGAATAATGGCCCAAATGTCGAACAACGGAAACGTCCGCCGGCATGTAGTTAGGCAATGAGAGGGACGAGGAAAAGAGACATGCAGCTGTGCGCCGGTATTGCAAAAGCCTGGTTGTTTGTCTGGGCCTCCTCCGGGCCTATGTGCCTCCGGCAAGCTGGTTTCCACAAAGTTCTGCATTGGACAAACGCAGAGGAGGGCGACAAAGGTACGGGGGTGCTCGTACTACACGTTGCGCTCAAGATTGCTATTGCACCACAGTACGTACTACGTAAGGTTCGAGGAACTGTGCCGTGATTGCGTAGGGTTGCCCGCAATCACGCATGCGCGCGTCTCGGTCACAGATGCAGCGCGGCAGCAGCGAGGACGTTCTCCTGTTGTTTCTTGTGAATCTCGGTGTTGGTGGCTCCTGGTTCCTCGTGTCGTATTATTAAGGATTCATCCCCATCCCCCTCCGTCTCACGGTAACACACCCACTTGGTGTCTGACGCCAGTGCCTCGCATGACTAACGCGTACCCCAATATGTCTTGAAATGAAAGCCTCGTGGCAGGTTGCGAGCGAGAGGTGTGTGGACAAAGAGCTCCTTACCCACGTCTTCCCTGCCCATTTCTTCCGGGCGCTCCTAGCGACGAGACCGTTGGGTGGACGGGCAACCGTTGTGGCACTTGTGCACAGTGTGCGGGCCACCGCGCATCCAATTACCTCGCCCATGACTTGGCGTGGGGACTCTTGGTACACTATTTTCGCTCATGGTCACTCTCGCATTCTGGACTTTGGCGTTTTGGGGGCATCACGACGCTTGGACTCCCGAAGGCTACGTCCAGACGCCAGCCATGGGCATCGCCATCTTTACACCACCGCCTATAGTGGCGCCGCAGTGGTACGGCTGGGCTGTTCGAAAGCAGGACAATGGGGCAGGCGGAAGGACGGCCCATAGAGCCTGGCTATGCCGGTGCGAAGGCCGAACATGGCTTGTAGCCACCCGATTCGGTCGGCGAAGACCGCATATACGCCCCCGGTCAGGCCGGTCTGTTCACTGTCCACACCAGCGCCGTGCGACCCAGACCTCCTCTCACCCACAGAGGTTTACAGCTGTGGATAGGAGATGCCGGGCACACAGGGAACTGAATTCAGAGCAAGGAGCAACAGAGCCAATGAAATGGAGCCATATAAACCGCCACAGTGCACTTTTAGCACGGCCACGGTGCCCTGTTTGACCCAGTGTACCCTGTCGTTGCGTGCATCCATACCGTCCATAGAGATGCGCATTCCCATTTCCTGTGTCACCCCCCGCGTGTGCGCCGCATACCGCGAGCCACCATGTCCCCAACGGCTTTGGCTCCAGTGCTCTGGCCATTCCTTCGCACCCACGGAATCGACCCTTATTCCCGTCCGTTCCAGTTTGGGTTCAATCTTGAATGTGGCTGTGGACGCCTGACGAAGCCGTAAGCGAGACGCGCCGCGCCTCGTATAGCCTTCTGGTGCGGCCTGGCGCTGGGCGTGGCGCCGCTGCTTGAGCGCGCTGGCGCCGGCGCTTCCGCCACGCCCAGGCCTGTGCGTATGGGAGTACAGTCGCGACTGAAACCTTGTGTGGGAGAGATCCACAGAACAAACGCGACGACGACTGACACTGGGACACACAGCCTGTGGGCTTGTGGCGGCGTGTATTGCCAGCAGATCGGTAGGCGCTTGAGACCCCATTCCCCATTCATCATCCCTCGATTGCTGGTGCATGTCCAGCAGGAGGTGATTGCAAAGACATGCATCTGCGCCTCCAGAAGGGTTCACCCAAGTGCGTCCACACGGTGCACAGTCGTCCTCAGGCAAAGTTGCTCCGCAACTCCGTAAAACCCGTCCAGCCCGGACCCTTTGCAACACGTTTGGCTGACTCTCCGAGTAATCCGGGAATCAACCACTCCTCCCTGTCGGCGCAACCTGCAGGCTGCAGGGTGTGCAGGCTGACAGCCCCCCTCTCCCGGCCGACACCTTTTGCATATATCCAATATCCTTTGTGCATGCCCCCAGTTGCCGGTGTAGGGCCCTGACGATCCGATGATCACCCGTAGCGCTGGCGTTGGCGCTCGTCCGCAGTTGCAGGACATACGATGTTTGCCTTTTCGATACCCTTTGGGCTGCGCATCGGACCCCAAATATCAGCGACCGCCTACGTGAAGGTCCCCGGGGGGGGGGGGGGGCGAGAGCATCATGGCGCCGCTGGCGTGGCCCGCCAACATGTTGCGGGTTTTCGGGTGGCTTTGTGTGGCACGAACGTGGCCATGCGCCGCGTGGGTGAGTTTCGCTGGGACTGTGCATTGCCTGAATGCTGACATGATGGACGGTGGCCGGTGGGTGTGGGGGTAATGGCAAGCATGCCGCGGAACAACCTATGCCCAGGAACAGGTTCATTATGTCGCGATCATTTGCGGGCTCCTGCCGTGTAAGGCTATACTTGTTTACAAAAAATCCAGCAAACGGGCGGTCGGAGTATACCAATGTTCTGGGTGCCTCCTGCAATTAGCCTTAATAAACCCCTTTGTGCTGTTCGGACGTCGGAAGAGGGCATCTCCGGGTGACTGAATGGCCAATACATACAATGCAAACCACACACCCAATGTGGGCAAGGAAGCAATATATTAAGGTCGCGGGACGGGAGGAAGGTGGGTGCCCTATCCTGCAAACTGTACAGAGGCTAATGTTGCGCCTTCTGCATCGGCATTGCGAAACGTGATGCATATGGTTTTGGATGGGCAGGTAATTGGAAAACGTTTTCTCCGCGGCAAAATGGCAATTGCTGGCGCAGTTGTGCCACATACCTCTCTCGACACGGTACGGTACTCGTACATCCTTTCTGGGCACAGACCTCCATGCGATGGTCTGCTTTGATCTCTTGTGGGCTCTCCAAAGCATACACCGGGTGGCTGCCACGCCATGTTCATGCTTTCCACAAGATGCAGGCACGAGGCACTCCCCGCTCAGCCCGGCCGGATGCCCGACGTGCTATCTGCGAAAGGGCGATCGACAGGCTCGTGAATGGACAGTCCGTCTCCCCGTGCAGCGCTGTGGTGGACAGGAAGGTGTCTCCCTCTACTGTGCTGACGATTGTACTCTGCCGTGTGTGTGTACAAAGAAGGGTGGGTGCCTGTGTCAGAGCTGTGATCACCCGCGACTGGCACGCCTGGTATTGTGTGATGCCCGCAAAACGCCCAGCGCCACTTTGGGGGACCCACTCTTTTTTTTGGGCGGGCTGTGGTGGCACCAGCTGCGGGCACTCTGGAGAGACACCTCTGGGTGGGGGGTGAGACTGATTGCTAATCTCACAGCCCCAGGGCCGGTCTTGACCGCTTCTGTGCACGGGATTGTGCTGCTCCTGTGGTTTGAGCGACACGCCACGAAGAGGCAGTTGCGACGCTTCGACGCAGGCGAAGATGATCGCCGGATCGACGCTTTCACCGCGCTTCCCATGAAAGGTGTCTACCCTGTAGCACGCGTCCCATGTCCGATACAGTCGGACCACGCGCACAACACAGTGGACGACAAACGCAAGCCACGTCGTATTCCAAAGAGCGGTGTCCTCGTTGTCATTCCCCAGGATGTCAGGAAGTCTTCGGGACAGACAGAGCCGAGTTGCGGCAAGATAGCTAAATAACAATCACCCTGGAGGCCAGCTCGGAGGCCAATGACGACCAGCGGAGTCTCCGACAGGACACGAATCATGCACAACCGCCGTCGCGACAGTCCTCGGGTCGCTAAAATTCGGCCCGAATAACTGAGTCGCGCACGGGTCCGGGCGGGCGTCTGCTCACGGTGCGCATGTGTGTCTGACCCGCCTGAGACATATCATCACCATGGCGACACGCACAGCTCGTCTGGTCCTTGGATACCCAGGCGTTTTTCTGCGCAGCGCGCACAGGACTTATGGCGCTTTGTTTCCATTCAGTGCTAGTATAGAACAGGGTGGCGTGACGGGATCCGGAAGGGTAAGAAACTTTGTTCCGTACACGCGGTTGTGCACGGTTGAACACGATGCGTGTTATCTTGCGCGGGGGTTCCCGCCTGGCCACAGGTGTGTTGTTGCAGCTTGCTGCACTGTTGCACAGGGACCTCAAACACCGTTCGGCCGTCCACTTGCTGAATCCGACTCTATTGAAGGGGCAAGACCGGTCGGTATGAAAGCGACAGAAGCGACGCAGGGCCCGACTGATCCGCGCCGGACCCTATGCCAGATAGCGTGACCGACCAAGTTACTGACCTTTCCTGGACAACAAAGACCAAAACAACAAAGGAAAAGAAGAGTCTCTGCCACAGGCCACAGAACACTATTCGCTTCACTGGTGCCCGGTTGGATGATCGGACGGGTGTAAATTGATAATGGGCAGAGGTCACACGATCACACGACAGACCTGTCAGAAGCTTTAGCGAACCCATGTGTTAGAGAGACCGGCCACCGGGCACCGGGCACCGACTGAATGGCAGACAGAGTGGAACGAATGAGAACGCCTCACAATCGGGACGGACTGTTAGGTTCAGGTGGTTTGGCCCCTCGGACAAGTGGACGGAGAGCGGACGGACACACGCAGCCAGGGCCTGGACGTGACTTTTCAGATCCCGGGTGATTTGCATATATGTGTGGATCGCATGCACGGTGTGGCACCCTCTCGACACTGGCGCACGACGGGTGCCGCCGAGGCGTCGAGGGAATGTGAGGGAGTATAAACGGCGCCGGCGATGGCGTGGTCTTGGAGGCGTTCTGGAGGAGGCGGCAAAGGGTGTGAGGCTGGTGCTGGAGCTTTGCATGTTTGGCCTCGCAACCACCGCTTTGGCTTGTTGCATTGCCAGATCACCGTCGTGTATCGTGCTGTCCCTCAGAGTTAATCGTCCAGCCCCCCCACCCTTCGGTCATGGAAGGGGTGCCGGTCTTTTCATCTCCGACGTGTTCGTGCGTTATTAGGTCTAGCACCTAAAAAGTGGCAGATCGTGTTGCTCATCAGAGAAGGGTGACTACCTCTCTGTAGTTCCCTGATGCCCTCACTGGAAGCTGGCAGAATTCCAGACAGCCTCAGAGCTCCGACCTCTGGCTGGCCACGAATACAGGGTACCGCCACGCCGAGCAACGGCGTTCCCATTCCACAGGGAACAGTGACGCTGCTGCACCTGAGAGAGAGAGGGAGAAAAAGTAATGGGGAGTTTACATGGATCACAGGCCACGTCCATGGATCTATGGCCTATGGGCCAGCTGACGAAGCCGCAAGGCGACGACGACGTCTGCCAGTGGGATCAGTGCATGATGCGACGGAGACGCCGACGCAACGGCTCAACTCAATGGCACCATGACCATGAGCCCCTGGGACCAGAGACAGAAAGAGTCGCACTTCCAAAAAGCTCAGGCATTTGACCTCGCAGACTCCGACTCCGCCGAGTTCGCTTGGATAGCTGCCCCCCCCCCCTGCAGCCGAGTCACTTGAGAGAGTGTGTGAAGAGACGATTGCAGCCACGAAAGAACAGGGCAGGTGGGGGATATAGGAGCGGCCTTGGATTGCCCGAGGTTTCGGCGGGCTCATGACGAACAGGAACGCGACGGCTCGAAGCGAAGGCGACCGCACACCCCTCAACAGTCTCTGGATCTCTGGGCCGTTGCTGCTCGCGCTGCTCACAGCCGCCAGAATCCGGCTCTCGCCGCCGGCCTGCCCTCCCGACTCCCCGTCCCTGTTCCCCATAACCCCTCTTCCACACCCCGGTCCAGCAACTTGCCCCGCGCATGGCCTACCGCGTACCTCTTCACCCCCCTCCCCCCCTTTGCCTGCTGTACTGCTGTCCCTAATCGTGTGTGCTCACGACACCCGCGCGGGCCCGGCCCTTTGCCGCACCTTGGCCTTCGAGCTGTCCAGGTGGGTCCGAAGTAGCGTCAGCCGCCTCCTGACCCCGCCCCAGCCTCCTCTTCGTCCTCCTCATTGTGCTGTCCCCCCCCCCCCCCCCCCCCCCCCCCCCCAAACCCCACCCGCGCCTGCCCGGCTGCCGAGCATGTCGTGTCCAGATGTACAGAGACAGACAAAGCATGAGCGATCCCGCCTTTAAGCCCCTATCTATACCCTGCGCGCAACGGCGGACGCAACGCGCTGCGCCGCCGCCGCCCGTTGGAGGCGCGCCTTCGCCTCATCCCAGGCCCCGACCCATCACGGGCGGGCTGCCTTGAACTGCGATGCCTGCCATGCCAGCCTGCTGCCAATCTACCTGGAGCGCAAAACCTTGTCCTGGTGCCCGGTCTGCCAAGCACAGATCCGCCTCCACTCTGCACCTCCGCCCTCAAGCGCAGGTGCACGCAAGTGCCTGCACCCACACACCGCGTAGAGCGCCGAACGTCCGGTCGACTGTCTCTGGCTGACGTCCCACAAATCGAGCCCGACGGCTCGTACAACTCTGTGTCTCTCTCCTCTTTGTTTCTCCTCGCTTTTGCCCTCCACCACCCACCAAATATCGGGATTCGTTCAACAACCATCCCGACGATCCCTCCCCTCCCTACATATCCTGCATATCATCGACTGATCGACATACACAGCAACAGACCTTCTGTCGATCCCTCGCCGAAACACAACAACCCCCGTGGACGTGTTGAGCCGCGCATGCCTCGCTTGGGCATATCTCCTCCACACATATAGCACAGCAGCCTGTCCCCTCCCCCTGGTTCGGAGCAAGGCAAACCCCTTACGGACAACTCACACCCATTCCCTTCGCATCTTCGGTTCCACTAGCACAGCTACCCGTCCGAACACCATCACCCACCCACCAACCCACCAACCCACACCGTCGTCTTGCCCCGTCGCGGCAGGTGTCTAGCTGCTGTCCCTTCGTGTAGTACGCCAGCACACCCCCTCCTCCCTACCCCTCATCCGGCACCCGCCTCACACAGGGCCAACTACTCCTTTAATCGTGTATCTTGAGGTGGTGGCACCGTCGATCCTCGGTGCGTCGATCCATTCCTCAGCGACTTGTTGTTTCCTTGGCAGTGGCAATCATTTATCGTTATTTGGACGCGGTGAGTATTGTCCCCCCGCCGCTTTCTCCACAACGCCATCACCCAACAGAGCTTGGTCCTCCACCAAGTCATTTGTACCTCACACAGCGCCCCACCCCGCCTTGGCCGTCCATTTTACAGTCTCCTTCCACACTTTACATCAACCTTGTTTCTGTGGCTGACGTTTGTCCGTCTTCTTCGTAGCCCACGCCGCGCGTCCACCTCCCTTTTCACCCCAACAACCCACATCGATCGTGTCCACGGTGCTCTGTCTAATGGCCAACCCCCACCACCACGGGTCTACGGATCCGCTGCACCGGCAACATGGCCTTCCGCCAGTCTCGCCGATGCAGTCCGACTACCCCATGCCTCCAGTTTACCAGTCACACCCTCACCATTTCGTCTACGATAACGGGTCTGGTCCTCACGGCCCCGGATCGGCAGTCGACCCTTCCCCTCCCCACCACTACACCCCTCAGCTCATGCCTATCGAACAACGCCGGCCGCAGCTTAATGTCAACATGCCCATGGAACCCGTAGCTCCCACCATCACCTTTGGGTACCCCCAACCACCCCAGCAGTCCGACCAGGTGCATCATTCCTACTACAGCAGCGGCAGTTTTGATGGCGGTGCCGGTCCTTCGAGCGTCAGCCAGGAGAGTGGCACCTTTGGGTCCTTCCAGACCACCCCTATTGAAGGTCCCCATGCATACCTTCACCCGCAACCCCAAGAATGGCCCGCGCCAGGTCAACAAGCATCATCATCCAACAAGCGCCCCAACAAGCGCGTGAGCGGCAGTGCGGCGAGTCCGGGCAAGGCCACTCGTGCACAGTACACGGCGTGCGGCGCCTGTCGCCACCGCCGAGTCAAGTGCGACCTTCGAGCCAGACAAGAAGACGCTGAGCGCGAAGCCCGACTCGAGGAGGCAAAGGGCGGTGGGCCAGTGAGACGCCGTCAACCTAGTTGCTCGAATTGTGTGGAAAGGGGAACCAACTGCGTGTGCGTATTCTCCCACCCTGTAACGCTGGGAATTCCGCTGACAACCGAAAAGGGATGAATATGCTCCGATGAAGGCGGCCAAGCAGCTGCGTCGCGGTAAACGCATATCAGAAATCGAGCAGCTGTATGGCAAGTCGGCCACGGATGCTGCCCTCGCATCCCAGGCAGAGGACTCGGACACTGCCACCAGCCCAACCACACGCACTGCCGAGCGCCTACCAGAACTGACAAGAGAGTTCTTTGACTCGCCATTTTTTCGCCGCTTCCACGTCCAGCGTATGTTGAAGGATGGAAGACCAGGAAACGGTTGGCGCGCGGGTTGCTGACCCTATTTAACAGGCCCCATCGTCGATCCCCTCGAGTTTGTCACTCGTTATCTCTCCAAGCCCATTCCATGTGCAACTGCCATGGGTCACGCGGGGTCGGTACTTTGCCACTGCCTTTACGCTTGGGCGGTGTCATACGGCCTAGATGAGAGAGGAATGTACGACGGTCCCGACCTCAGTCGTGGACCGATCGGGCCGGTCAACCTCATGAGCCCAGGCGAGAACGAGACACGCCGTGAGCGCGACCGCCAGCGCCAAACAGAAAAGTTGCACTCTGTGATACGCACCATTCTGCGCGAGATCGACGAGTTTGCGATCATGCGTCGGCCGTCGTGGGATGGTGTGCGCGCGTTGCTGTTGATCCTGCCACTCACTGAGGGTACGTTTCATATATTTGTTACTTTTTCTTTTTTTCTTTTTTCTCTAACATCGACAGGCGTCTGCTCCGCACTTGAGCGCAAGATCATGTACCAGGCCGCCCTTTCCCAGGTTTTCACTCTATGCTCGACCCAGGGAATTGGCTATGACGGTCGCCCAGCAGAGCTTCCACCTTCCCCTATGAAGGACGACGAGGAGCGACGCGAGGTTATTCGCATGCGCATCTATTGGTACGCCTTTGTGCACGAGTCCATCCAGATGGGCCTCGCTGGCGGCAATCTCACTCTTGTCGAGGACGAGGACACTGCAGCCATCACCGAGGCCGTGAAAAAGCAACCCATTGTCGCAGCACCAGGACATGTCCACACAACTGTCAAGATTGCTCTCGCACCGATTCACCTGGCAGTAAGTCCTTGTAAAATACCGTCTTGTTTTTTTTTTTGGTCTCACACACCCAGCTCGCTTGTCGCATGATTCACAGAGTTCTCACGGGCAAGGAGGCTCGGAAGCGTGAGCCTAATTTCGAACAAATGCAAGAGCTCTGGACGACTCTCGACCAGTCATGGGAAGAGTTTGAGGCCTGCAAGCACGAGGATTCGGCCGAGCCATTCCGCCAACACTCGGAGGCCGTGCACTTTGCAGATGGCTGGGTTAGTATCTCTCCTTTTCTCACCTATCCGTGTACCAAGATCTGACACCTCAGAAAATCTATCTCTTCGAGGCCCACAATGTCATTCGTCGCGTTCTCGAAGGCCGTCTCGCTCACAAAGAGGCCGCCCTTGGTGCCCAGGACTCGCGCTCGCGCTCCGTTTCGCCGGTGACTGCCACCAACGCTCAACACAGCGATCTGACGCGTCTGCGCCATCTGGTGGAGATTGCCCGCAACCAGTGCGATGTCAAGGCACGCCAAATTGTGGACATTGTGCAGACACATCTGGGATCAGAGTTCTTCGAGTGGGACGCCAACCTTGTTCGAGACGGCACCTACTATGCCGCCCAGATTCTCGCACGCGAAGGTGGCACAGACGAGGAAGTAGCGATTTGCCTGCAGGCCCTCAACGAGCCCCGATGGGCGTTTTCCAAAAGTGTTGAGCGCAGCCACGAGTGAGTCGGGCCTGTTTTTTTTTATATCTTTGTCGCCCAGCCACATACTGACGTACAAGCCTTCGCAAAGCGTGGTTTGAATCTCGTCACGGTGCCATGTCCTCTCCTCAAGAGAACATGATGGATGCCTCTGCCTCGGGTGGGCCGATTTCGCAGTCGGAGTCGCCGTCGTTTACCTCGTCGACCTTCGACACAGGTGCCACTGAGCAACAGCAACACATGCCCGGTTCTGCGTCATGGCCATCGACAGCCAACGTTCCCTCATCTGCTCGGTTCAGCCCCTCGCAACAACCGGAACGCGGTTTGCGCTCGCCTGTGCACGCACCTCAAGGCTCGCCATATGCCATGTACCACCAGGGCAGCCCGACCATGCAACAGGCTCAGCAGCAGCAGCAGCACCTTCATCACCCCCCTCTTCCGCATGTGCACTCCCAGCAACACCAGCCACCACCACCCCAAGGGCAACTCCCCCAAGGCATGGTGTTCAACCCCGCTGGTCAAGTCGTGATCCAACCGGACGGCTCGCAAATGTTTGTACCTTACGCCTCTATGCCGTAAACCCCGCCACGCCCGCCGCAGCGCCACACTTGGGGTACGGGATCACGATTATGGCGTCCGAGTGGTCATGGGCAACAACTAGATCCCAGGCTGCACGTCACACATCCAGGAGACGACCGGAGTCAGCCGGCCGGTGCTGACCTGTCGGTGGGCAAGCTTTGCGACGAGTAACTTCCAACCCCATCCACAACGTACCGCGCGGATTCCCACTCCACTCGAGGTCCAGATCCATTTTCATTGTACTACTAGTCTATGCCCTGGCCTGTTGGTCTTGTCTACGGGAAATGCAGCTCCTAGCCCTCTTGCGCTCGGCAAAACCTTTTTGCAGTCACGGTTGATCCGTCAAGGTGACGTTTGGTGGGTGTTAGCTGGGTCGCAAAGAGGCGCTACTGGCGATGGTTGCTGCCGGGCCTACAGGGAGCAAACTTCAGATCCTGATCACGAGGATGGTGGGATGAGAGGGTGTGCCCCGGAAATAGGCCTTGTTTCCTAGCACAGTATGGTCCAAACGAATACCACGGGCGCATGGTATCGCGGTGCCCTCGGAGATGTGTTGCGGGTTTGTGGAGCAGGGCAGGCGGTGATGCGCTTTTGGCGTCATCGCAAAGGCAGCTGACAGACACCGTACACCGTGCTGTTCCTCTTTCACCCCGGCCGGCTCCGGTAAACTGAGTCTGAGTCTGTTATCCAATTGACCAGTTTCCAATCTCCTTTCCGCTGCAGCATAAAGCCGTTTCGGGACCAGGGGCGAGGATGGGATGGGTGTGAGCGGTGGGCCCTTGCCCAGTCTGTAGTTGGTTTGGGGTACCGCGGAGTATCTGCCGTGCGGGGGGGATCTGCCACCGAGGCCCCGTCGCGCAAGGTAGCGCGATACTTGCCGGCCAGGTTTACGTAGTGCGTTCAGGTGGGCTATCCGGAAATCGGCTTGGGGCTTTGGCGGTGCCACCTTCCACCACTGGTATCTAATGTAACATGTCTTGACCGTGTGGGTACAAGTGTAAATGTCTACGAGATAGAGAACTGTGGCAGGAAGAAGGACGTCCATGTCAACGACTCCACGCACACACAAGTATTTGTTGCATGGGAGCTCAAGTGCACGGGCAATCCAGGCTAAACGTGACGTCAGTCGGAGAGGATAATGGACGACTTGCCCAGGTTCTAGATGGGATAGCACAGGACAGCCATCAGGTAACCTCAGGTAGTTGGATCAAGCACTGTAGCAGCTGTCGCGGAATAGGAACAGCTAATAACATCTCCTATGTCTCAGTGTTGCTCGCTTACAACGAGGTAGCATAGGATGTCTTCCCGTGTTCCACTGTCCCTTGTGTGATCGGCCTCTGATGTGCGGACTTCGGAGTTCGGTTCCCCCATTTTGGTGAAGATCGGGTATGTTGCTGCGTGGAATGACCATACCTTCACTTCCGTCATGGCATGTCAGATCCTCATACCTGGCTTTGCTTTCCGACGTTTCCCAGCGTTTAGAACTTTGTTGTCAGCAAGAGCAACAAACAGCTGCAGAAGACGCAAGGGTCCCATGGTCAGTCAGGTTTGGTCAACGCGCAGGGCATCACCGACAGGCACGCGCTTGCACTTCGGGATTAACTATAGAGACTTGCGTTGGCCGGATTGACGTACGCACTTCTTCACCTGTGGAGTTCACTCGTTCATTGTGCCAGGCTCAGCGGGCCGCCTAGATATTCAGTGTGAGGGAGGTGACCTTCGCGGAGGTGGGCACGCCAAGTGGCGGTGCCGTGGGTGTCGTAGGGGTCTTAGGTGCGGGGATACGACAGCTGCACATGAGTTGGACCGTGTGTGGCGGAAGGAGCTGCACGGGCTTTGAACGACACGGCCAGCGAAGGCAGCGGCCTGCCTTTCATCTCAAGAGAGATTTCTTAGTGTGACGAGAGCAGCGGGTGTGGCAGTCTGACGTGAGGCGGCGGATAGCTGAACAGAAAGGGTCTCCCTCGATGATAGATTGGACCACAACATCGTTTCCATTCCTTTCAATACCTCTGAGTCTGGCCGACGATAAAAATACGTAGAGACCAGAATCGCTGGAGGCATTGTATGTACTTCATCTGCATTGCGAGCCCACTGCACGGTTTTGCATAAATGATGCTGGGAGACGCCGCAGCCCGTCGTCCGCCGGCCAAGGGTGCACCCCTCCACCCCAGGTCCGGAACGCTGCTCGGAAGCGACAACCGTCTCACGCAACGTATGTCTTGGGCATTGCGACGTGTAACATCGTGACTCGCGTAAGGCTCTTGATACAGCACACCATGCGGTCCCGCACAAACAACCACGTGAATCAAGGCCCTTCCTCGCGTTACAGAACGGCGAGTGGCATGGTTTGAACAGTAGCACTTTTCGTCGAGTTTTGGGTCTTTTCTGGTCACGCTCGCAGCTGAGACCCCAGGAATCACTCTGTTCATACTGGAATTGCAATCAAACACTGTAAGTACCCTTCAGATCCGACCTTGTACACGGTTCGACGGGGCGTCGCAGCCCACAATACAACCAGGATGACGACTGATGTCTTGTTGCTCCGACGTCGATACACTTTGACCAGCCACTGTGTTCCTTGTTCTCTGCCTTGAAGCTGCGGCTTCTATGAGACCGTGGACGCCATGTCGCTCGGAGATCGACCACTGCATACGCCGTCGGGAAGGGGCGGCGGGTGTTTAAGGAATGGGGTGGCGCCCCGTGGCCACAGCAAAGAGGTACAAGCCGAGACAATGACACCTTGTCTGCGCAAACAATCCTGTCCACCTTTTCCCGTCCACCATGCCTCTTACACCTTTCAGTAGTAGGTTCACTCAAGACAGTCCGCGTTATATCGACAAGCCACCACGAACGCAACGAGTGGCGCCACCAGCGGCATGGCCCCTTACTGAAGGACGCGCTGCATCAGCAGCAACTTGAATGTTAATTCGATTGGTGAAAGAAAACGACCTCGTCGCCTGGCTTACTCTCTGACCTGAGTGTCCCTCGAATCGTCCAAGTCAGTGGCGGTGGCGCCAAGCCCCTCCCCCGGTCGGCGTACTCTACGCCTCTCTGCGTCTCCCGCGACCTTGGGCACGCGTCCGATCGCACGTTTACTGGGGTGCGTGCAGCTCAAACGAGACCTCACACGGCCCCTCAGCCTCTCCCTTGCGTTGGCCCTGTGGTGGATGACACAGTTCACACCGTTCACACACATCCTGCCCACCTATTGCTGTACTGTACTAGGCACGACCGTGCAAGCTGACGGAGGTCTTCTTCTCTGCCACGCACACGATGAACGCCAAAAGAAACTGACCAGAAGTCGACTGCCTCGATTGTAAGCCAAGTGGACAGACTGGATACAAGACCAAGTGGACGTTCAAGGCCGTGGATCAGCTTCGCATTCCGATGAGTGTCCTGTACATACCGCAAAGTGGCGCCAACATCGGTGGCTGCACCAGTAGTGGTACACATCCAGGAGCATTCCACATCAAACACAGCCAGGACGATCTCATCTGCAGGTTATCCGACACCGCTGGCCTTTGACGCCTTTATACCTCAGCGTCCACCTGGGTCGTGATGTTCAGTCAGTCTACCCATCGCCAGGGGTCACTCAGAGACCTTTGTGGAAAGTGCCCTGCACTCACTGCGGAATAGGGCACTGGAATGCAAAAAGGACGGCTTGCATCACTTATGAGTCCTGAGCACCTCCTCACCCAAGTCCTCAAACTTGACATGAGCTTCACAACAAGTTGCAGGCAGTTCGCCAACATCCATACCTCCTCGGATGACGCTCAACTACAACTTGTCTCATCAGGTGTCTCCGGATGTCCCCCCCTGCACTGCGCACAGCGACAGCGGCATTCCCACATCGTGCGAAATGCCATTACCTGACTTGTCCGGTCGTTCATCTCGGCCTGCTCCCATCATGCGAACACGTCAATCCGGTTGACGCCAAACAACCCACGCCTGACAATGGTGGAGGACTGAAACCCAACAGCTGTCAAACAATGCAAGAGGAAAGCGGTCCTGGGACAACTGCGAGGCAGACGACCAATCGCGCTCACTAAATGATGGACAGGCCGTGCTACCATGGCAGGGAGATGACGATCGGACGCTGAGGAGACTTTGACGGGTGGCGCTGGGGCGCTCGGCGCCGCATGCTCTCGCTCGCCGCCGTCACACTACTCTGGCACGTACTCTGGGTACTCTAGTGGCTGATTCCCGGTACAGTACATTCCCGCCACTTCCTCTTGATTCCAGTAAAGAAAAGTGGAATGCGTCTCTGGTGCGCGTTCTGCGCACCGCGAGAAACGCATGCCTTGAAAGACGCACATCGTGGAACCGTTGGCATGTGCGTTGGCGATTGGGCTTGCGGGCAGCCTTTGGCCGACCACGGTGCCACCACTGGGCCACCGTTTTCCTGCTAATGAGTACTGAGATCGTCAGCTTCCGCCACGTCCAGTGTGGGGGTGGTCTCTCTTGATATTGAGGCTAGTCGTCTTTCTGGAGAGACCACTAGGTCCACGATCCTTTTGGTTTCTTGTGACGTGTTTCGACGGCCGCAAGGCTCGGTATGGCCCGGCGACGGACGGAGATACGGATGGGACGAGAGGGTTTCGGCGACGCGCGCGGCAATCAAAACCCGTTTTTGCGTTATCTGTACGCAAAATCGTCCAGTGGGGACACGTCCTGATATGGGAGATTTGATAGCACTAGTGGTACCTGATCAGCTATGTCCTCGCCAGTATCTGCTGGGTGTCCTCATTGGCAGGCAACCCGCATTGATAACTGGCATGGGCGCCCACTATTGACATGGTTGAAGAAAGACGCATCGGGGTGGGGGGAGGGGTTATCTCGTCCGATGTCTCGTATCTTTTCTCCACACTGCCCCCATTGGGGCGCCAGCCGACCGCGCGGCCAGGTCCGCGTGGGCCGACTAGCCACCATGCGGCTGGTGCCAAGACTGCTGGGCAAAGCATCCAATATGAATTGACCACATGGTGGTGGTAGTAGCGAGCGATACGAGGAAACGATACAGAAAGAGAAGGAGAACGGACGGCTGGTTGCCTCTCCCCTCTCCCTCCCCCTTCCTCGTCGCGTTTGCCCAACGACATTTCGACCGCCTTTTGGTCCTTTTTCCTTCACCTGCCGCCTCGAATCCGAACACTCGACGGGCACCGCCTAGTCATTCAGACTGTTCCATTCTGCTCTCTACTGCGACGTATATCCTGCTACCACCTCACATCTTGTTCGGCTTCCTGGACAGATGTGCGCGGCGATCAAAGCGACTCTCGCGGACGGACATACTACGACACAGCAGGCCGTTGTTGTTTCCCCTTCCCCACCTTTGGGTCTGGAGGTGCTCAACAAGCGTAGGTGACACCCATCGTCTGTTGACTTTGCAGGTGAGCGTCCGGTGTGGGCGAGACGAGGGACTCCAAAACGGCCCATAGAGGCACATTGGGCCTGGCGACAACGGTGTTTTGCTCCATCCAAAGTGGATGATATACACGGCCCTCTCTCACTTCACGCTTAGTCTCACCGAGTTCCGTCTCAGTAGTAGCGCACACCTGATCCAGCGCGACGAGCACGGGGGGTACAGACGAACGGCTACAAACGTCAGTGTGCTGTGCCCATCCATCCATGTGTTGGAAGAGTTTCCTGTGCGTGTGACGCGGGCCGCTGTCGCGCCCACGCCCACCCACGCCCACGCTCACGCTCTTGACAACAGATACATGCCCAAACCTCTATCTATATTCACTACTAGTGCGTACAGGCGCAAGGCCGATGCGTTGCTTTGCCTTTTGGATGGAGATGGAGGAGCTGGAGCTGGGCAGCAGCACAGCGGCCATCGCCATCTCCATCCATCCAGGCGGGGGGGAGGGGAGGGGTTGGTGCGGGGAGGGCAAGGGTAAAGGAGCAATAGACTAAAAATGGTGATGAGGCAGGCCAGCGGGGGTTGGGGTGCGATTCCGTGTGGGGAAGGGGACCGACCCCGTTTCTATAGTTGCTGTGTGGGTCGGGAGCGAGAGTACACACATATGCGCACGCACATAGTTGTGCAATGCGGCGTCTTGAGGGGGGCGAGGGAGAGGGGGGGATGCGTGATGCGTAATCCTCCAGAGCGTCCACGTCCAGCTTACAGCCTCGTCATTGTCAAACCGCTTCCCAGGCTGCTAGACAATGATGCCGAGCCGCTATCGGGGGCATCGCTCTGGCGACGCTGGCGCTTGGGGATGGCAGTGGACGGGGCGGCGCCCTCTGCTTGGGGACTCGACGGCTTGGAGCGCGACGACGACTTGCTGCCCTTGCGGCCAGACTCCTTGGACAATGGTGCGGTGCGGTTACTAACAAGTCAGTACGAGCGAACATACGGGAAAGATCCAGCACTGTTACTCACCGCTTCTTGATCACATCCGTCTTGAGCGAGAGGGGTCGCACGACGCCGTGGAGCTTGTAGAACAGGCCACAGGCATTACACAGCGGCTGGCCTTCGGGATCGCGACGCCACAAGGGCGTGTTGGTCGTCTGGCAGTTGGTGCACATTGTCGGCGTCTCGCCGCCCAGCGGGTCGGCCACTTCCGAGGTGGGTGTGGCTTCGCCGCTGCGCGGGTTCTTGGGGCGGCTCGTGGTCGAGCCCTGTCGACTGTGTCCCTTGGCCGCCGACGACATCATCTTGAGCGACTGGAGGTTGGGCGACGAGTTGGACCGTTGCGGGCCAGCACCAGGGAGAGAGAGACGCTCGCCGTTAGATTTGGGTGGCGGGGCAGTGGGGGTGTGGCCGTTCGCCTGGGGCGAGTCCTGGGGCGAGAACGACTCGGACGGGAGGCGCAGGACATCCGAGGGGTTGACGTGTGTGAGAGGCAGCTGAACGCCTGGGTCGTTGAGGTAGAGGTGCATGAGCTGCTGGAAGTCGAACGGCGACTCGGAGGTCTGCGGCGGCATGACCAAGCTGGGGTCGAGCGCGTTAGGGAACAGAGTCGATGTCGCGTCGAACCCGGGACCACCGGCGGCGAGCTGTCCTTGGGACCACTCGATCGAGGTGTTGGGGCCCTGTGCGTCCTCGGCGTCGCCGTTGGCAGGAGTGGCAGCTGCCGACCCGCCGGCCGCAGCGTTGAGGTCGAAGAAGTTGTCATACGACTGCATGTTGAACGTGAATGGCGCCGTAGGGAACCCGCTGCCGCCATCGGGGAGGGGGTTGTGGTGTCCGCCATGGGGCGACTCCTCGGCCTGGCGCTTGCGGTTGAACAGTGGTGGTGCCATCTCGTCGGCGCCGGGACGGACCGTGTGGTCAAAGCTAGTCTTGCGGACGCGGCGAGGTAACAGTCCGTACTGGGGATGGAAGTTCTCTGGAATCGCACCGTACAGCCCGGGGCCGTTGATGCCAGGCAGCGAGTTGTACTTGGACTTTGAAGAGCTGGTGCTTCCCTCCGAGGCGGCGACGTGAGATCCGGGTTCCTGCTTGATGCTGCTGCTCAAGGAGATGGAGAGGTGGTGGTTGAGCGCCTCGGCCTGGTCGGCGTTGGGTCCGCTGGCAGAGAACATGTCGTAGGCCTCGGCGGCACGGATGGCGTCCCACACGTCGCCCTGGCCCTCTGCGCTGCGGCCCGATCCCTCTGCCTCCTTCTCGTAGCTGAACGATTCGCGCGAGTCCTTGCCGCCGCCGTTGACAAACTGCTCCATGTTGAGCTCGGAATGCAAGGGCTGCGACATGGCCATCTCGACACCGGGGGCGACCCAGCCAGGGAAGTTGTTGGGCATGGACCGTGCGACGGCGCCAAACGATGCAGGCGAAGGGTTCATGCTGGCAGTCGAGTTGGAGTGTGTGCCTCCTTGCGCCAACAGGTTGTGTGCGTGCTGCTCATTGACGGCTTCAAATGAACTGTAGCCACCCATAAAGGTCGAGCGGGAACGAGAGCGCGACGCCGCACGCCAGTCGACGGCCATGCGGGAGCGCGAACGTGATGCCGCGCGCCAGTCAATGTCCATCGCACTGCCCGCGTTAGCGCTTTGTAGCCGGGGGTGGGAATAGTGGTTTGGAGTGGTGGATGTGGTGGTATGGGAAGAAGGAACATACCTAGAGTCGCGGTTACCGGCACTGAATCCAACCACGCGTGACTTTCCCTTCCGGCGACCACGTTCGCCCTCTCCTTCCTCCATTTCCGGCACTGTCCGCAATGCCGCCGGCTCGGGAGGTGGAGGCATGGCCGTCCGGTCCTCCTGGGGCTGCTGCAGCTGCTGCTGTTGAGCCAGCAGCATCTGCTGCTGCTGCAGGGGGGTCAGAGGGACACCGTTCTCATCCTTCTTCATGGTGAGGTGCATCATGCGCCAGGTCAAATTCTCCATGCGGTGACCGTGCGGGAGCGTGTTCTTTGCGCGTGCATAGGCCTTCCAGACCTGGGTGGCGAGGGGGTCCTTCTTGGCCATCTCTTCTGGGTGGTGAACCTCGGGCAGCGGACTTCCAGGGTCTCCAGACTGGGAAGGTCGGCGACCGGAAGCAAATATTGGCAGTGCCGACGTGGGACTCGTGCTCAGTGGCGAACGTGCGGCAAAGAAGTCGTCATTGAGGATTTCGGACACGACATCCCCGCTCCGCTGGCGCGATGTCACCGAACCGCCTTCGGGAGAAGGCGGGTTGGTCGAGCCTGCGGAGCGCAGGTTGGTAGACGAGTCCTGCCTTGCAGACAGGCCGGCAGAGTTGGGTTGCTGCAAACTCATTGCGATTCCCATACCCATCCGGATCGCCATTTCAAGGCCAGCAGGACCATACTGAGAGAGGTGGGCGATACTCATGCCAGCTGGCAAGGGAGGGAGGTTGGACATGTCCAGCCTCTGCTGCCAGTCCTCGGCGCTCTCGGGCTCCTTGGACGGCTGGCGCGACTGGGGACGCGAGACCGTCGCCACTGGCGTGGCAAACGACAGCGACTTGGGCGACGGCTTGACGGGCGGAGGATGGGGAGTGGCCTCGGGGCGACGAGGCTTGATTGGGCGGAACGACTTGACTGACAGAGTCGTCTGCAAACGCGTGAGCACTGCACTAAATTCCACGCTTTTGCTTACCTCTGCTGGGCTGCTAACTGCGTCGCTGGAACCGCCGGGAGTCGTCGCCGGGGTCTCGTTGGCGCGGTCGCTCGTCCAGGACTGGGCCGTAGCCGCCTTGGGACGCTGGGAAGGGGTGAAGCCAAAGCCACCCGCGAACGCCTGCTGGGCGAGGTTCATGCTGGGACTGGAGGGCTGGCTGCTAGACTGCTCAGCCTGCGCCTGTTGCATGCGACGCGTCAGAAGACTGGCGTTGGAGCGGGGCACACTGCCGCCCTGGGCGATCGCTGTCGCTTGAGCGTGAGCCTGCGCTTGAGCTTGCGCCTGAGCCTGAGCTTGCTGGTTGACCATGGCTGCCTGCGCCTGCGCCTGCTGGACCTGCTGAATCATCTGTGCAAGAGATTGCGGGACGGTTGGCTGGGGCTGGAACTGGGGCGGAGGGGGAGTCTGCGCTGACATTTGCATGTGACCGGCAGGCGATGACATCTGCGAGCTGGGGTCGAGGGCGCCCATCAAATTGACAGGCATTGTGCCAGCGTTCTTCTGGCTCTGGGCAATCATCTCGGCGAGGTTCGCGAGCATGTTCTGGTCGAGTCCTTCGAGTGTCGCTTGAGCCTCGTTGACCTGCTGCTGCAGTTGCTGCTGCTGCTGCTGCTGAGCCTGTTGTTGCTGCTGCTGTTGCTGGGCGAGGTGTTGTTGTTGCGCCTGCTGCGGGTTCCAGTCGAGACCAGTAAAGTCAAACGACTGAGACTGGTCGACGCCCCAAGGCGATGGAGGTTGCTCGAGGGGAGTCGTCGAGCCATGGGGACCAGCAGTCGATCCGCGGGCAGCACGGGCAGCGGCATACTGAGCCGCAAAGCCCTGAGCGTGTGCGTTGGGAGTGAAGCTAGATGCCGAGGTACCAAAGACGGAGGCGGGGCTGTTAAAGTCGCCAGCTGTGGGCGTCGTCGAGAGGTCGAGGAGGAATCCCTCACCGCCCTGCAACTGCGCAGGAGGGACAAAGGGCCAGTTGTTACCCGGGGCAGCCTGCTGGGGCAGCATGTTGGAGCCCGGAGATGCAGCGATTACTGGTCTGCCACCTGTAGACGGACGGCTAGAAGGTGTGGGAGCGGGCTTGACCGGTTGAGGGGCCAGTGCTGGCTGCGTCTGCTGCTGCTGCTGCATTCCGGTGGCGACTCCGCCTCCGCTGTCGACAGTGAATCTACCCTTCTTGGACCCGGTTGGGGGTCTCCATGCCTTGGAGGCCATCTTTGACGCCGGTCCGTTGCTACTAGGGGCGCCGCTGCCGCTTGCAGTAGCGGTTGGGGACTGCGTCGCCGACCCAGAACCGCTCGCGCTCGCCGCACCTGGCCTCGGCGCGATTGGCCGGGGAAGGATAGGTCTGAGGCGAGCCGAGGCTGTCGACGAGGTTGTAGACTGCGGGCTGCCCTTTGAGCTTGTAGTCGAGCGGGGAGATGGGCCGGCGAAGGGCGGGGATGGAGTGTTGGCCGAAATGGTGAATGAGTTCACTTTGCGGCTGGGCAAGGGTGTTAGCAGAGTGAGCTGACAAAACGCGCTTGCGATCACACACAAAGGCTGCTCTCGCGGTAAAGGAACTAGGAGGGGAGGGATGAGGAGGGGATATAGATAGGGTGCACGCGGGAATGAGCAAGGACGAGGAGAGGCAAGGCAACGGTGGGCGCCGCTGATGGAGAACGAATCAACAGGCGGCGAAGGCGGCGGCAAGGATGCGACACGATCCTCGCGCGACCACTTCGCACGTCGACTCGGACAGAAGCCCCGGCTGTAGCGTGGATGCTCTGTAGCTGTGTGTGTGTGTGTGTATGTGACTTGCTTGAACTACCCACCTTTGTGGCAGCGGCGAGATCTAGACCTCGCGCAGGATGGATGCACAGGAAGGGGGGTGTTGAAAGACGGGATGGACCACGTCTTACGGTGGTGCGGAGCAAAAGGGGGTGGGGCGCCGTGCTGTGTGTTGTGGATCTGCCCAGCAGTGCTCCAAGACTGTGACGACGAGAGTGTGTGTGTGTGGGAATACACCGAGTGTATGCAGCAAGGGCGGCGATGCTGTAGCGTGGATGTTCTGGCCAACGTGGATGGACGAAGGCAAGGGGGGATGGTGGTGTGTAGGGGGGCCAAAATGTTGGGTGTTGGCCAAGACGCGAGAGAGAGAGAGTGGTGTTGAGCGAAGAGTGCCGAGGCGGGGGGAGGGGAGGGTGACGGGGGACACGAGGTGGCTAAGCGATCTAAGAGTGTGAGGAGGAGGAGGGGGATGAGTGTGGGTGTGTGTGTGTGTGGATGTGTGGCGGTTGGGAGAGAGGGGACAGGCAGTCTCTAGTTAGTGGCGAGGAAGCGTGTGTGGGTGTGGGTGGTGTGTGGTGTCTGTGGTGAGACTTGAAAGTGCACGGCGTGCGGGCGGCGGCGGGTGATGGTGTGTGTGGGTTTGGCGCGGCGGGCCTGCACCGTCCGCTTGCGGCGGCATCGGCCAGAGCCACCAGGCCACCAGCCAGCAGTGCCTCGGAGCATCACGGCGGCATGCCCAGCGCGGAACAGAGCCCCGGAGGAGTCAAGAGAGAGGGAGACCTTCTGGCTCTTCTGGCCCCCACCCAGGCCCCCACCCACCCTCTCGCTCTCGCTCTCTCTACCCGGGTATCCCTTTCGGCACGCTCTGGCGCTCTGGGCTGCCTTTTTTCAGGGCCATCATCACAGACTGCTGCTGCTGCATCATCTCTCTCATGCCATTCCCTCACCACCACCCTTGCTTGCGTGGCATCCCCGGCGTCTTTTTCTGGCGCTCACCCTCGTCGTCCTCCCTCCCCCCCCCCTCTCATCAGTCACACAAGAGGCACTCTCTTTACATGCATGCACAGGCATGGATGACATCCTAGGCGGTCCAAAGTGGGTCCACGGCCTTGCTGCCACTCAGGGGCATCAGACCTTTTGGCACAGGCCGTTCCACTCCATATTTCCGGCCCACGGACCCATGTTTGCCGTCCGTCCTCTCGGCCTCTAGAGAGACCGTCAAAGGCGCCCGCTTGTCCAGATCCCTCATTCCTGCCCCCCTCTCTCCCTCCCTTCTCCTTGCACACGCTCGGCTCTTCTGAGCGCCCGGCCCAGAGGTCAGAGGTCAGAGGCCGGCCAGTGGCGGTCGAGGCGGTCTCGGTTTTTCCCTTCATTTCCTGTTTAAACCTCCACGCACGACAGACACCTATACCCACACCCCTGAGACTGCCGCGAGGTTATCGGCACATTACTGACCGCCAGCCAACCAGCGACGGCCACTGATGGCAAGGCTCATCCAATAGACGCGTCCCGCATCACCGCAAGCCCATTCCGCCACTCGTACTGGTCCGCACGTGCCATTCTCTTATCGGAGCATGCGAGAGCGCCTCGAAAGGACATCACAGATCACAAACCCAAGACAGCCCGGAAACCCCGTTTGTCCCTGTCGCCTTTTTTCGTCCCGCAGGCCGTATTCGTCCTTTGGGCGTGGCCAGCTGTTCAAGTTTCTCCTGCCTTTCTCCGCCCTTACTACTGCATTGCATGCACGCACATTCGCCCGGGTATGCAGACAGAAAAACAAGAAAACCAGACAGCCGTCTCCTGCGGCTCAGACCCCACACCCTTCTCTCTGTGCCTCTGTCGAAGCCTGTGTTTTGCACACGAGGCCGGCAAGAGGCGCCACCATATCTTTTGCCTGACACACAGACGCCAGGCAGCCACCACCACCTCCACTGCGCCGTACCGTCCATAAGCGCCAAACAGAGCTTGGCCACTCGTTCTTAAAAGGTCCTAACAAGGTGGAGCGTTGAGCGTGGAGCGCGTGGGGGTGGCAAAAGGTGGGGGGGGGGGGGGTCGGGGGACCGCCGAGGGCCGCAAAGAAGCCCACTACCGTCACAGTCAGAGAGTCCTTTGGGCGCGTACGTAAGTACTGTACACTCGTCGGATCCGCTGTTCCTCGAACGCGCAGTTGTCCATCTCGTCGTCATACCTTTGGTCGCCGACCCATATCAACCACGTCGTCCCCGCTCGCAACCAGCAGGGAGAGACGGTAACAGACGGCCATGGCCGCGGGGTGTGTGTGGAGTTGTTTCAACTTCTTTTTTTTTCATTTCATTTTTCCTTTTCTTCCTTTCTGTCTTTTTTTTTTTTTTTGACCTTTTCGACCTGTTTTTGACTTTGCGACTTTTATTCCGTCCTGTTATTTACGAAGAGGTGGGACAAGACGAGCCCGGGAGGGGGCGAACCGTCGCGCGTTTCTCGGCCACTCATCTATCTGAAAGAGCCCGACCCGGCCGAGTCCGCGGTCCAAATCAGAAACGCCCGACAACGCCGGACACGGTCGGCCTCCCTGCCCACCCGTCGCTATCGGGCATTACAGCCAGTCGTCAGCGAACCACATTGGCTGGACGCGCAACGCCGCGCCCAACAGTCCTCCGAGGTCGGCCCCCGGACGGACGGGACTGTGCGTTGGCCACGGGGCACGGCGCTACTGCCGCACAGCAGCCGCATCGCAGCCCGTGCCCCGCCGAGGCACCACGGATGCCTGGTCGCGTTCCGTTTGCGTGTTGTGGTTTCCTGGCCCGCGTCGCGCGCCGCCCTCCCTGTCCAAACAGCACTCAACAGCGACAACAGCGCCGCCGCCGCCGAACCTGCTGCCGAACCTGCCGCCGAACCTGGCACCGGACGACGGGCGAGCAGGCAGGTCCCGGCTGCGCGAAAGGATAGAGAAGGGGGGGTTGTACAGGGCGGTTTTTCCGGGCGTGTGCACTGACAATGTCCATCGGGCAAGTCGGTGCATCGGTCCAGTGTTCAGGAGTTGCGGGACTGGTGGCCGACGCCCCATTCATGCTGAATGCTTCTCTACCTCTACTAGAGGAGACCGCGGTCAAAAGGTGCGGATGGTATGCATGCAAATGGCGGTAGGAAGGGGTCAAGTCAGCTATACAACAGCGGCGCACAGCCGCTTACGGCCGGCCACGGACGACGGACGCCGCCGGTAGAGAGAGAGAGAGAGAGAGAGCAAGAGAGAGCGAGAGATCTCGCGATCCTGGGTCTCCGGCGAGTAGTCGTAGTAGTGTCGACGAGTACGAGATTTACTGGGGGATGTGACGTTGGCATTCATCGGACTCGGGCGACCTCGAGAGCTTCGGCGCGACGCCGCTCGGCTTTGCTGTGTGCGCCCATCGCCTGCGACCCAGACGCCAGCTTGGACAACATGGTCGAAAGACGGTGTGGCTTGACCGCAGTGTACGACAGCTGCCGAATGGACGTTTCCAGGAACGCATGGACGGCGTCGCTCAGAATCACATTGATGGACTGTGGGTGGGTGGTTAGTTGGTTATATCAGTCGCGTGCGCGCGCTTGACAACAGGCGTTCGGGGCGGGCGCCAGGAACCAGGGAGAAAGTACTCACCAGCTTGACTTCATCAAAGACGTGATCCAACCCGGGCCGGCCGAGCCGCTGGATCTCCGTCTCGATAAAGGTCACGTCGGCAAGAACCAAGGTAAGCGCCGCTTCGTTGTACCGCTGCACGTCTCGACCCGTGAGCGTTTCCTGTCACAGTCAGTCCCATAGCTCCACACGTGTTGCGCAACGTACCATAAACCATTGGTTGATCCTCTTCAACGCGTTCTCGTACGCGCGCGTCTTGGTCTCGTCCGGCAAGCCAATGAGGACAGAGTCGACGTAGGCCGTGAGGAAAGTGATCATCTCAAACACATAGGTGCTTGGCTCAATGTTGGCAGAAGCAGACTTTGGCAGCCAGTTGTACTCGGACAGCTCAAAGAACGACTCGAGCTTGGACGCAATGACGGCATCGATGCGAGTCTGGGCGATGCGCAGCGTGTCGGCGAACGAGTTGGCTGCAGACAGTGTGATGGGGCCACCACGCTGTGACGCACTGTGTGGGTGAGCAATGTGCAGACACTCGATGTGACCCACCGAAGGTTCATGAGCACGCCCTCAAGCTCCTCGACGGCGATGCTAAAGTAGCCCAAGTTGATAACAATCTGGGCAATCTGGGACAGGTTGCTCGTCGTCCGCAGCCGGTGGGCAGTCTGCTTGCTGACATGGACCGTGAGGAGGTCGTCGAGGGACTGTGGTCAGTCTTGTATCTACTGGCGAGGAGCTCACCTTGCGCAACACCTCATCAATGTCGACGTGGTGCTGAGTGACGCCGTCGGCAAACTGGTAAAACTGCTCCACAAAGTCGCGAATGTTGATGCAGCACATGGGGTATGTCTGCGAGAACGGCATGGGTTGAGGGAATCCCTGCCTGTGGAGGACGTCAGACGAGGCGGCCAAGCTTGTTCAACTTACATTGCCAACGACTCCATCTCGCCTGTTGCCAGCCAGCACACGCCCGACACCTGGTCAAACTCAGTCTGGTCGTTGACCATCATGGGCAAGTTGTCGTCGTCGCGAACGATCTGTACAGTGTCAGTTACGAAGCGAGTACCGAAACTCACATGGTCAAAGTCGGCGCTGAACTTGCGAATGAGAAGCTCCGAGTAGCGCTCGAACAAGGTGATGAGCAGACCGTTGAGCTCAGAAATGTCATAGCCGTAGCCCTGCGAGATTAGATTGTGCTACATGCTCTAAACTCACCTCAAGGGTCTGAACAAAGAGGAGAATGTTCGTCTTGCTCTCGAGGAAGACGTTGAGGTCACTGCAGCCCTTGAGGCCGAGAGACACGACGCCAATGATACGACGGCACATCTCGTCCCACAGGTCGTCGACGTCGCGCTGCGAGCGGAAATCAGTCACACTCTTGAGCACGTGCGCCTCGATGATGAAGAAGCCCACAAGCTCCTGCATCAGGTGAGGAAGCGTGGTCATGAGCGTGTCCGGGTTGGTGGCCGAGCGCGCGGCCATGATCAGGTCGGCTTGGGTCTGGTTTGTGTTAGCTCTCGTTTTAAGTGTTACACACACCTTTCGGTCCTCTTGGTAGTTGCGCTGCAGCTCGGCCTTGGAGTCGAGAGCCTCGTGGATGTGTACACACTGGTACAGGGGACGGAAGTCGATCTTGATCTGGTCGTTATCGAGAGCGTTAACTGAGAGGTCAGCACAGCCGAGCCGGCAGTTCACACCCACATTCCACGCGCTCGTTGCTGACAATCTCGAGGGAGCCGCCTATCCTGGCAAGACGGATTCCACCATCCTTCTCTCTCTTTGCGCGCCACTTCTTGATACGCGCACCCATCTGCTCGAGAGCGAGCTTGCCAACGAGGGCACTAGACTCGCGAATGTCAAACAGCCAGGACTTGGTCGAGGCCGTGACTGCGTCCTTGATGGACAAGCGGAGAGACGGCAGGGACGAGATAAGGTGTAGATAAAAGGGAGTGTTTGAGATGGATGGTGGGGGGAGGTGCGAGAGGTCTTCGATCATCTGGCTGGTCAGCACGGCTCCGTCATGAAATGAGGACCCACCCTCAGTGCACCCCAGTATTTGCCCTCGCGAATCATGTCACCAACGCGGTGGACAAGGTCCAGAAGACGGAGACAAGTCTGAAGCGTCTCGATCGCGTCGTCCATGTTCCTCGCGACCTTCTTCTGCTCTAACAGAGTGCGTTTCTGGACGTCAGTATGGGTAAAGCCAGTCGGCACCAAACCCACCTTCTCTCCGAGAGCGCGGCCGACATCGCCCATCTGGCCGTCCAGCTCGCCGATGCGCTTTCGCAAGTGGCCCGTACCTTGCCTCACCGTAGATAAGGTAAGGACAGACGATACAAAGTCCTGCCAGGTCAGTCAACTCGAACAGGGGAGGGGAGGGACGCCGGCGCACCTCATAGTTGCTCCCACAGATCTTTTCAATCTCGTGCTCCTTCTCCTCGACGAAGCGGTCGAGACTGCGCAGGTACAGCTGCTCGGTGTCCGTCTCCTGTATGGACTTGATGAGCGGCGTGAGTGCCTCGAGGTTCTCGGCGGTCGCAGACGTTGGGTCGAGGGATATCTGATGGGGCAACGTGTGAGCGTTCAAGTTCAAACAAACACAACACAGGTCTAGCGCACCTGTTGGAGCTGGAGCTCGAGCTCGGCGCTCGTAAACGTTGGGCGCTGCCGGCGCATCATCGTGCTCCAGTATACGACGTTGGGTGACTTCAGCTGCTGCTGGGTGCCGTGCAAACTGTCTGGCGCGTGGATGTTATTGACTTGGTGTACGACCCGTCGTCATGAAACTGGGGGGGGGACATCTCCGACGCGTGGAGGCGTGCAGGGTGGCGACGATTTGATTCCGTCCGTGGCGATGACGACCGGTGGAGGTGGTCCTCCTTGTGTGTTGACAAGTTGTGGGCGGCAAAAAACGATGTGGTGCACACTGGTTGCCCTCATTTGCGTGGGAGTGCAGCGGACAGTGTGAATAATAGAGCATGAGAGCAATTAGGGCACTCTCTGCTCTCTGGTTCTCTCTCTTCTTCTTCTCTCACCTTCTCCAGCAAGACCAAAACGCGACCGTCTTGTACACCCTCGTCTTGTTCACGGTGGTCCGTGCGTCGACAAGATCAACCTCGACGTGTGTTACTTCTTTTGATTCCGCACCCACTCCAGACCATCATCTTTCCCCCCTCTGGGTGCCCCGTGTCTTTCTGTTTTGCTCTTCACCCCATTCTTCCTTCCGTCACTCCATTCTCTAGGTCGTTGCCATCTCAACCCCAGCCTGGGCATCGACCTCGCCCTTGTTCATCTTCCAGTCCCCCTCTTGCCCGATCTCCTGTGTTCTCAGGCTTCACCGACTCACAGACCACCTCTTCCCTCCACTCTCCGTAAGAGTCCCTTGACCTGCCTTCCCCGCTCGCCGCTGACACCTTCCTTCCTCTCCAGGCCCATCACTGTTCTTCTTCTTCCTTCTTCTCCATTCACCAAGTTCATGGACTCTTAAGACTCAAAAGTCGCTCCAATGACTGCTCCAGCTTCGCCTCCACTCTCCACCGTGAGTATCATCTCGCCCCGGTACACGACGTAACCCGGGAGACACGCGCACACCCAGGTGGGCGGCCCATACCGGGCAACCGGATGGCTGGCTACATCGGTGCTCGCACCTCATCCTTGTCGTCACGGGCCTCTCCTTGCACTGGGTAACTGCTAACTGAGCCCAGAGCCATGCCAGTACGCCTTCACCCACCCTGGAGGAAGGCCGTCGCCACCAGGTGCCCTCCACTCTGTACGTTACCAGTGACTTGCCTCCTTCCTTCCCCGCCTTCCCTCCCACCTTCCCTCGGGACTGACACGCAACAGTGTGACCACCTCGACTGGGCCCAAGGTTTCCTCCTCGCCTCTCACCACCTTGGAGATGGCCAAAAGCACTGACACGGGATCGCCCGTTAAGCCGATCCCCACGGTGAGCCAGCAACCCCGACGCAAACACGCACTGATGAACAGCTTGATCCCCGTTCCACCGTCTTCAAACCTCTTAGACCCATAGAAACCCCGGCCGCCAAGGTGTCCACTCAGTGGGACAGTGTTACCAAGGACCTTGTACGTTGCTTCTCTCCTGGTCTTAAAGCTCTGAGCACTGACTCACCCACCCACAGGCGGCCAACGGGGACCAGTTTGTCCGCGGCAGTGCGTTGCACGTCTTGATCCCGCTGACGGTCGCAGCTCCCCCGCGTGCCCGCCTGTCTCTTCAGTCCGCTGCGAGCACCGTCATCGACACTCCTCGTTCTCAGCGTTCCCTGGACGTTCACACGCCTTCCACCGACTTGACCTGGGCCTCGTCGGCCTTTACCGGTCGCACCTTGTTCACGCCGCCGAGCAATCTCGGCTTTGACTCGCCACGCAACAACCTCGGCGCGCCGATGGCGTTCAAAACCGATGCGCCTGCCCAGGAAGAGCTTGGCCGTTTCCTCATGGTAAGCATGCAAGATTCCAACGCCACCCATCAAAGGCTAAGCCCCATCAGATCAACAACGTTCCGCGTGGGGCCAACGGCGAGGACATCAGGCAGATCATCAAGGTGCGGTTGCTGTCACGAACCACTCACTCGGTGCTAACGGTCCCATCAGAACATTGCTCCGTACAGAGCCATCATCGTCAAGCACCTGCGCACCAAGGGCTGGGTGGGTGGAAACAACTCATAGAAACATCGCTCATTCTCACAGGTCATTGCTTCATTCTACGACCCCGCGACGCCATGAAGGTCTACGAGAAGCTCCAAGTCAGCAGTATTCGCTTCGGAGCCAACGACCCACTGGTTCAGCTCCACTGTAGCACCATCTCGTCCGACGTCGTCCGCCAGGTAGGTCCCCAGGCTTCGCCACCGAGAATACTGCTGACCATTAGATCACTGGGTCCGGCGAGGAGTGGGATCAGGTGTGGCAGGCCTCTGAGGCAACGGTTAGGGTTCAGATTCACGGCCCGCACGGAGTGTCCATCGTTGGCATGGAGGTGAGTGGCTACGTTGGCGTCTCTGAAGGCCTAGCTGACGGGTTTAGAAATGCCTCTCGACCATTGGTGACCTCAAGACCTTTGCCCCTCACGACGCCAGTGGCAAAGTGAGTCGCATGTCTGTTGGGTGCTCAATAGCTGACAGCTCCATCACCAGTCTTTCTCTGCCGAGTATTATGACACGCGTCGCGCCGCCGACGCCATTCGCGTTCTGAACAACCAGGCCATTGAGGACGGTGTTCTCTCGGTTCGCTATGCCAGTGATGACCCCTTCCAGAGCGAACCCCTTGGCGGTCGTCGCGACTACCAGTCGCCTTCCGCATACACTCTCGGCTCGGCGGCGTACAGCCACAGCCGCACCAGCAGTGGAGCCTACCTGCCTCCCTCAAGCAACAACCCTACGTTCAATGCGTCCGAGCCGTCCTCGCCGTCAGCTCGCCACGACCTCGCGTCCCGCTTTGATGGTCTCCGTGTCCAGAGTGATGTTTCGCAAGTGAGGAACGCTCTTGCTTGGGCTCCACCTACCGGGCCCGAGGTCGACGACATGTACCCTCATGAGGCTCCGCCCAAGGTTAGCCCCATCTCCCGTCACCTTTCCGACCCCGGAGCTCTTCAAGGCATGCTCAACCAGATGGACCACAATGCTCGCGCTCGCCGGCGCCAGAGTGTTGGCTGGAGCACCCCCGACCGCCAGGCTATCCCTCCTGAGAACCGCGTCTTCCCTGAACGCATCGTTGCTGGTGAGTGCAACATCGTAGAAGGGCAATTCACTCACCGCCCAGGCTTCGATACTCGTACCACTGTCATGGTGAAGGATGTGCCGGTGAGTGCAAAGCAGCTCACGCCGTCGCTGATCCGCAGAACAAGCTCTCCCGTCAGGAACTGATCAACATCCTGAGCGAGGTAAGTCAAGTTGAAAATGCAACAAGCTGACGTGCCGAGGTGGTTCCGAACGAGTTTGATTTCGTGTACCTCCGTTTCGACTTCAACAACCACTGCAATGTGAGGTCCCAACCGTCGTTTACATACTGATGCGCGCAGGTCGGCTACGCCTTTGTCAACTTTACGTCTGTCAAGGCGCTCTACACTTTCATCCAGTCCAAGGTCGGCAAAAAGTGGAACATGTTCTCGAGCGAAAAGGTCCTTCAGGTATGGCGATTGAGTGTTTTACCTGCAGTCGTTGACGTCGTTCACAGGTGTCGTATGCCAACATTCAAGGAAAGGTGTCGCTTGTCAACAAGTTTAGGTGAGTGAAGCAGGTATGGAGTCGACAGTAGCTAACCTGCAACAGAAACTCTGCTGTCATGGACGTCATTGAAGAGTGGCGTCCCCAGATCTTTTAGTACGCTAAGGCGCGGAGGACCATGTGCTAACCAGATTCAGCTCCAATGGTGCTCTCAAGGGCAAGCCTGTACGTTTCACGCTCTCACTATGTTGGCAATCACTAACACGTCGCAGGAGCCATTCCCTGAGGTAAGCGTTCGATGTCAGCCTCGCTCACTGTTCTATCAGGCCGACAACCCTTCGGCGCGCAACAGATCCACGGCGGCGCGTCTGTCGTTCCTTTCAGGTGAGATCCCAGTTCACTCCCGCGGTCCCGCTACATGTTCGGTAGCCCTAACCGAGACCAGGCTCCGTGACCCGCGAGTCGCTCAGCAACGACCCTTCCGCATATGACTACTCGGCTTCCTCGTCCCACCACGGCTTCTGAAGCAAGTCCCGGTGGCGCCAGATTGTCGTCCCTTCCTCCGTTCTCTCTCACTCTCTCTCTCTCGTCTTCTCCCCGTCTTCTATCCTGTGTTTGTTTTCATCATGTTGCCTCGTCTTATCATTCCCGACCTCGAACCCCAAAACGAAACGTTGGCCTCAAACTGAGGCGGCCCTCATCTCTCCGACCTCGATCATTTTCAACGACCCCCACATCCCATGCCCCCGCCGGCCATCTCATGCTGTACAACATGTAAATATGTAATAAATGCGCGCCTGCGCCCCCATGCACCCCAAGTTGAGAATCCAAGGCTTGTCTTTAGCATACAGAGGCAAATCCGTAGGGCGATGTGGCAGAGTGCAATTAGCGATGGGGCAGCCCACCAACAGCGGCACAAGTGGCAGAGGCAGCATGAACGGCAGAACCAGAGGACAACGGTGAAAACACCCCGCGAAGACACGGTACGGCCACCGCGAGCTCACGACACACTAGACGTTTGGGAAGAGGGAGGGAGACATGGCAAAACTGTAGCATCATGTTAGGTGCGCAAATATACAACAAATCCGTATATATATCTTGATTCTCTGCACAGCGGTCGTTGCTAAATTTATGACTGCGTGTGCTTTATGTGTGTGTTGTTGTGTTTTTTGCTTCTTTCGCGTATATATAATTTAGCACAGCAGGACCTTGAGTCCGAGGTCGTCGCACACGGCCTTCCACTCTGCGCGGGGCTCGCCAGTGTCGACGCGGCGCCAGACTTCCTGGATGATCCGGCTGGCCGTCTCGACGTCGAAGCAGCACTGGGCCTTGAACCCCTCGAGCAGGGTCAGGAGCCACTGGCGGCTGCCGCCGTCCACCTCGCAGCCGGCAATGACCGCGGGCCACATGAGGTCGATGCTCATGCCGAGCGCGGCCGTGCTCACGCTGCAGTGCTGGAGGACCTCCTGCGCGGCCTCTTGCACCTCGGGGTCGCCCCGGCGGCGGCCGTAGGCCATGCGCAGGAGGAGGATCTTCATCGTGCTGGCGTACGCCTTGTTGCCCACCTGGACACGCTCGTGCTCGACGGGCACGACCTGCGTGTTCTGCAGGCTCTGGATCCACGCGTCAATGTCCGTGTTGAGGTTGGCCGCCTCGGTGTGCAGGGCACCGTCGTCGAGCGGGCTGCCTACGCGCGACGCCTGTGGCGGGGCGGCGGTGCCAGTCGGCGACTGGAAAATGTTGGGGAGGACATTGGCGGGCAGCAGGCCGGTCGAGGACGAGTCGATGTGGATAAAGCCCTCGGGCCCAATGTTTGCCGAGCGCGTCGTCGTCTTGGGCGGCTCTTCGAGGTAACGACCCTGCTTGGCCACGCGGGCCAAGAGGCGCGAGATGCGCGAGAAGAGGTGGACCATGACCTTGCTCATACCGAACAAGGTCTCCACCGAGTGCTCGTCGTACGTGCTCGAGCTCTTCTCAAACCACCAGTTCTCAGACTCGGAAATGAGCTCTGGCTCCTGGCCAAGGGTGAGGCATCCTGCGAGTTTGTCAGTGCCTCGTTCTAAAAAAACTGGAGGAAATGGTGATATTCGGTTCAAGTCGGACAATGCTGCCCATCATGGTATACCCGACGTTTTTTTTTTTGACAAGGTCGGGTGCCACTTCCAAACAGCTTCAACCGCGCAAGGCGGTCCAGCGTGTGGGGCTCACATGCCAACACCCATTGTCAAGATGCCACACTCCAACACAGGCACACACGCACGAGGGTGCAGTGGAGCTCGTCATAGAGACGGGTAAGGGAAGTTGTTTTGGGGAGGAAGGCGCATGCGGGATGCCGTAACGTCACGAGGCACATGACGACGGATGGGGAATGTGGCATTTTGGCAGATTCGAGAATAAACTCACCTAGCGTCTCGTAAATGGCCAGCATCTCAAGGAGAAGTCGCGCAGGGGTAGCCGTTACACCGTCGGCGAGCTGAGTCGGGGTCGAGGCCTTGAGCATGCGCGCGGGTCCACCTCGCTGGGCGACGAGGCGCTTGGCGACGGCAAAGTTGTCCAGCCAGTGCTCGCCGCCAAAGAAGATGTCAATGGTCGCCAGGGAGGTGGCGGCGCTCAACGCAGCGTCGCTGGCAGCTGCGGCGGGGTCATCGAGGGCACGGCAGACCATCTGCTTGGCCATGTCGCGAAGGTTGGCGGCATACTGAAACGTGGCGGTGGTCTGGACAGTGTTCATTCCGGAACGGGCGAGCAGAAAAGCCTGGTGCACAGCCCCGATACCGAGAAGGGTGACACGGAGGGCGTCGGCGGCCGGGTTCATGCCCCTCGGAGACTCGAGGGCCAGCGGCAAGTTGATGGCCAGCATGGGGTTGAGAGAGGACGGAATCGCCATCATGAGGTCTGCGGCGTTTGCGCAGTAGTGAAGGATGAGACTCTGTTCCTGCGCCGTGGGGAACCATGGCAGGAGAACTAGTGGACGTGTAAGTGACGTGCTTTCACCGTGTCGACGGGCCGTGCATTGCATTGTTGTGGTGGTAACTCACAGTTGGGAGTGCTGAGCAGCGGAGTCTCACCGTCCGCCCACTTGTCCTTGCCTTCAACCAAGGACGCCAAGGCACCAGCAGTGGGAGCTGCAGCGATGAGATCGAGACCCGCGGCAATGGGATCGAAGCCCATGGCTGACGGGCTCAGGCCCCGGGAAAAAGCACGGTCCCAGCCCAGCGGCTCGCCACCGATGCCAAACCCCTCGGGGACAGCTTGGCTGAGCTCAAACGTCAAGTCGGTGGTGGCGGTGGGCGGTGTGGTGTTCTCCACCGAGCCTGAGCCGTCGTACTTGTCGTCGTCGTTGTCCGACTCGGACTGCTGTCCGTTACGTTTCGGCTTCTTGGCCTCGTTCGGGTCGGGAAAGCAGCACTGAAAAAAAAACAGACGTTAGCGTCGGACTCCGATGGCTTTGTGGCGCAACGTCCATGCGCACGCATGGACATTGTTGTGTCCCTGCTGTTCCATAACAACAGGAGTTGGTTGGCACAGCCCGACTGGCCGCTGGAGTCACTCACCTCGCGCTTGGCCACCTGGCATCGGCGGCAAACTGGGCGGCCCTCATCGCACTTGATGCGACGAGCGCGACAGCCCAGGCATCCTGTACGGGAGCGAGTGTACTTTTGACGACGCTTGACGCCCAGACGCCCCGACTTTGGAGGTGCAGGCGGACGTTGGTCGTCCGCCCCCATCCGGAGGCCGCCGGGCCCCATGGAGGAAGCACCGACAGCTGCACCTGCCAGTGCTCGACGGTGGGCATCCATCGACGACTCTGCGAGGTACGGGTGGTGCCTCGAGGCGGTGGGGTACTGTTCGCTGCTGCTGCATATGCCTGTCAGCCACCAGTCGCGCATGACAAGGAGAAGGAAGTGACGCGGTCATGACTAGGCTTCGGAGGCGTCGCGCCACTTTTTGACAGCACGACCCGAGGGGCTGAGAAATGGGTGTTTGTGTGGATTGGAACCAACAGCGAGCGGGCCGGTGTTGGCCGCTCGCGCGTGTGTCTGTAGCACATGTGTGTGATCCGCGGGCGGTAAAGTCGGCGGACCGGTCGCCGGAGACGGGAGTGTCCCCCCAGGACAGAAGAAGCACAGCGACCAACAGGCAGCAGGATAATCGCCGCGCCCGATAGGTATCACCGCCACGTTTAGCGGACGCATGTTGGTGGTATACGCCACCATCACGCCCCACAAGGTATCAAGGTGTTGCGCAGCGGACAGTCAACTCCGTTACCAGGGACTCACGTTTGGTCTTCAAACTCGTTGTGCCAGATGTTTGAGGCCGCCATCGGTGGCGGAATAGGAGGGGGCATGCCGTCAAAACCGCCGTCGTAGGCTGCTGCTGCTGCTGCCTGCTGCTGGACAGGAGGGAACCACGGAGCTTGCTGCTGGGGGGGAGTCGGCACGGTCCAGCGGTGACGAGGAGGGAGGAGGGACTGGATGTCGGGGCTCGAGGCCGACGACGAGTCCGACGTGGCAGAGTACGAGTTACCGAACCCGGCGTACATCGGGGGTGTGAGCTCCTGTGGAGGAACACGAAGAGGAGGAGCGACGAGGTAGGGAGGGGAGCGTCCGTATCCGAAGAGTGCGGACTCGGGAACGGCAGTGAGGACTGGATGGAGTTGGAACGCCATGTGAACGTTGGTGTGCAGAGTACCGCTGCGACGCGTTGATCCGGACGATCAAAAAAAGTAGGAGCGTGGGTGTGTTGGGAGGAGAAACGCAAGATGCCGTCAGCCGTGGAAGGCTCTTGAGCGATTGCGTCGAGGAGAGGGAGAGAGAGAGGAATATGGGGTTGAGCCCAGATGGCCAGCTCCGTTGCGCTAGAAGGATGGGATGGAGGGGTGTGGTGTGAAAGAGGGGTGGGGGGGGGGGGGGGGGGGGGCAGCTATCACGCTTCCAGGCGTGCGGGGAGAAACGGCAGCGCGTCTGTGTGGGCGATACGACTGATATTAAAGTGGACGACCGAAATGAGACGATACGGGGGGGATCGACGAATGTACCAACGACCTGGTTCGAGACTGTGCCCGGGGTTGGGCGCTCGGGGGGCGTTTGGGGATGGCGGCAGGCGGCGCTTGCGTCTTTCAGGCCGTTCAGGTTGTTGGTGCAGGTATGCAAGCGACTGGTGCGTCTCGCTGGATCTCTAGCACAGTCGTCTCGTTTGCTCTCTGTCTCTCTCGACCGATTGCAAGTGAGGCGGACACTCGGGGGCGTCTTCAAAGGCGTTTTGTGGGCGTTTGGGCTTCTGTACCGGGCGGGGCAGTGAGACACCGTATGGACCAGGAACCAAAAAGCAAACACAGAGAGAGACCCAAAGGGCAAACGACGGAGAAACCAAACTTGGCGATGGGAAACGCAGGGAGGGCGATGGAGAGACAGCGCTTAGTCACAGCGGGGTGTGTGTGTGTGTTGTGTGTGTGTGTACGTAGGTATATATGTGTTTTTGTGTGTGTGAGAGAGAGTGCTCTGTGTGTCGAGAAATGAGAGCGCGACGTTGACGGAGAGGGGTGGGGGGGATGGGCGTTGGAAGGGTCAAAGGGGATAGCTAAGGGGGATGAGAAGGGGTTGGGATGGGGATCTATCTTCTTGTGTCTTTCTCAGGATAACCCGCGTGCTGTTGATGAACGCTACTGATTGCGCTGTTTTTGGAGATGGACCTCTGTCCAGAGGCCAGAGGCCAGACCCATGGGGCGGAGAGAACGATCTCCCATATCGTCACACACGGCGCGCTTGCTGCCCTCTTTGCTGCTCTGTTGCCCTTGTCGTCTGCGTCGCCCTCACGGTCTTGTGCCGTCGCCATGCCTTGCGCGGGCAAACGCGCGGCCAACTCGAGAGAGAGACGTCTGTCAGTTTGCCTCTGCAAAGGGGTGTGCACCGTGCTGTGATCAAGGGGGGGCCTGGGGTACGCCTGGTCCTGCAAAAGAGATCTGGACCCAACCCCGTGTTGCGGGTTGCTGGGTCTGATGCCCGGCGGCCCCCCTCCCCCCCTCCTCTCGACGACCCCGAATGCCGTCGTCGCTCCTCTCATGCGGTGCACAGGCTGCGCGCGCGCTGGGTTGCATAATGTATTTCGAACTTTTGGGTGGCCAATATTTCCCGATGTGATTTGTCCTGGGAGGTTATTCCCTCTCTTGCCTCTGCTGCCCATGTCCGGCCGACCGGCCTCCGGTCCCAGCTCTTTTCTTCTTTTGCGTCAAGCGGCCTGACCTTCGGAGGCGAAAAGGCGGCCACAACTGGCCAACAGGCTCTCACTCCTGGTCGGCCACTGGAGCCCGGGGCATGCGGGACGATGACTCTCGCCCCTGGCCCGCCCTGGTCCATGTGCTGGCTAAACGGCAGTGGCCGGCAGTGGGCGGCCGTTTCCCATTCGACAGGTTTCCTACCCCACGGCGCTGGGACGGGATTCCTGCAATGCGTTTCGACCAGGCCACACAGCAAAACATCGGCGTCCATCGTCCCCTCCCTTTTTTCCCCTCCACCCCCTCCCCCCCCCCTCTGGCCTCTGGGTGCACCCCCTTGCTAACCGGAGAGGGTGAGGGGGGAGAGGTCGTCATACCGTACTAAAATCTCGCCTCAGCACAGGCTGCAACTCGTGTCTGCCACACGCTTGTCCACCATGATGCCCCCCCCCGCGGTCAACCCCAGCTGCCCCATTCTGCTACCAACTTCTTCCCCGCACACATCGCACACACTACGCATATGGCAAACGCACAAACGTACGCACATAGAGACATACGCACGACCAGTCATTCCATGACGATCACCGTCTCGTCCGGCCAGGACCCAGACCGCACTCCGTTGTACCTAGATCCGTTTTCTAGCAGCAAGCTCAAGGACGGACCATTGAGTTTCTGGCGCAGCATTCTGTGACATCGTGTTCAAGCTCGGTCGTACGAGCTGTGCGTCAAGGCGGCGGCGGTGACTGTGAGGTTTCCCGGCCCGCTTTCAGTTTCAGTTTCGGCGCGTCTACTTGAGACTGCCCTCCTTGTGACTCCTTGTCACCTGCGCACCCCCCTCCGCGACTCTGCAGGTGACGACTGTGACTGTCACTCCCATGTCCGCTATCGTTGACCGTTGACACACACTTGACACTGCTCTTTGTGGGGTACGGGTGGGGGGTCGCAGTAGTGTCTCACGCCGAGACAAATGTCACTTTGGCACAGGCTTTGGTTTGCTTCCCCCTGTTTACCCGTCCATTCAACCGCACGGCAGATCCCCCCAGGCCGCCCTGTTCCTATCAGTGACCCCCAGCGTTGCCTCGTTCTGGCTAGCGCATGTACGCAACACACTACCGAACAGAAAAGAGAGCCTGGCCTGAGTCTCGCCCTCAATGTCTCCCCTGAGAGACCTTTTCTTTCACCCGTGTCGTGCGCGGCACATGCCTTGTCCCGCGCAATCACCCTGACGATCATGAAGGCACCGAGGCACGGCCCAACCATTCTCTCGGCGCTTCCAACCCGAATCAAGGAGAGAGCAAGAGACAGAGAGAGAAATGCCCCACAGGATGCCAGCACAGGCCGTGGGCAAACAGCACATCATACGCAGGGGATGGCGGCTCGTGCGCGTCACACACCCCCTTTGCGCTCGGAACCTGTCACTGCTGGTGCGCAATAAATTGAATAAAATAGATGATAAATAAATAAACCGTCCCTCCAACGTATGGGTGGTGCGGTGCATACGCTCTCACGCACCCGACAGTACACACACCATCACATACCGCAAAGGCAATAACAACATCAGAGCGGTGACTCCCCACGTCTCTTCTTTGGGAGTTTCCGCGGCAGGCTGCGTCGCACGGAGACCTTGGGCTGCGGCCCCCCCCCCTCTCCTACTGTCACGAACACGTTTAGGTTAACCCATTCCCTGGCAAAAGTCACTTTTCCCGCCCCTTGTAGCAGCTTTCGTCCACTTGGAGGAGCACGGAATAAACCTTTGAAATTCCGCCCCCCTAGCCTCCGTACGTCCAACGTATGCCGGCAGATGACTGTGTATGTACAGCTACAGGTCACACTTGCGCGGGACACGCCGCCTGCCTGACGACCATCATCTGCCGTACCGGGAACACCCATGTGGCTATCGACACGGGAGATCGACGGCCGTACGTACCCTATTCGCTTTAGTAAACGCCAACGCACGCACGCACACACGCACGTCTTGTCCTGTTTTCCCATTTTCCCCAGACCTGCCCAAGGTGGTGGGTGGGACCGGGGAGGCGTGCGCTAGTTCCATCTATCTATAGTTTCATCTTGCGGAAATCAAAAACGCGAAATCAATTTCGAATGCTCCATCCATCCGACAACGCGGTGGTACTGAAAGCTTGTAAAGGTCCGCAAGACCACTGGAAAAGCACTCTACTCTGGGAACTGCTGCCCACCATGGCCCTGCTTCTTCGGGACACGTACAGCAGTTGAACTGAGCAGTCGCGCGGGAGCCTGAACGGGTGTGTTGGTTGTGTCACGGGTCTGCAGGTCATTGTCTCCAAACGCGTGGCTGTTTCTTTTTCTGACACAAAACGGCTGACGCGACCGATAGATACGCATGGCAAGCATGCGCCCACATGCACAGCTCGACAGTCCGTGTGATCTTTTTGCAGCCCACATCCCTGCTGTTTACAGCGGGTGGCTTCGGATGGTGAGTCATTGGGTTCCGGACAATGTGGGACATTGTTACGCGAAAGCGACTCCCGTGAGTAATTCCTCTGCTCAACACCTGAGGCCCAGGTCCTTGGAATCATACGTGCGATCGAGAGATGTACGGCACAGGCGCACGACCCACAGTGACGTGCCGCTCCCCCAAATGCCAACGATCAAAATCCGGGAAAGTGGGCAGGTCAATGACGCACAGGTGTGGTGGAAGGTAAGGTTGCGATGGGAAACCACCAATACAACATTCCTGGGCGATCCATTCCATCACCTCTTACGGCTCGTAACCGCCTGAAAGCAAGGCCATGTGTCTGCTAAGCGCAGACTTCCGCGGTGGCGCGAAGAGCCCTGCCTGCCTTGCCAGCCACAGACAAACGTCTGCTCTAGTCTCGACCCAACTGTCCAGGCCGAGGCACAAGATATCCCGCCTCTGGCGCAACCGAGCAAGTGCTTTCAGGATTGGATCCGGCAGGCCGGAGAGTCTACTGTTACGTGTTGATCCTGACATCCCGTGGTGCAGGAAACAGCAAAAGGAAATGTGTGATGTGTGCAGGATCGAGTCGCAGTTGGCTGTGGGTAGAGAGGAACGACGAGTGCCTCCCAGTGTGCCGTGTTTAGGAGCGATCTTCCCACGGCGAATGTGCCAATTATCGTTTAATCTGCCATGCTCATTCGCACCTCAAAAAAAAAACACAAGTCTGTCCGTGTCCTCGTTATTCTCATGAAGATCTGGCACGAGCACACGCGTCGCGTCGTCCTGAATTAACCCGGCATTTCAGCAACAGGCGGCAAATGGAGTAGCTTCCTCACTGGAGAGGAAGCTGTTGAGAAAGGACACCTATTTGTGGATTTGGATTCCCATGGATCGTTGCCCACCTCGAACGAGGCGAGTGCTAGAGGACGCGAGCTCGCGATTGACCGCGGGGTAACCAAAAGCTACGCGAAGACGCGCGTCGTCGTCCACCACCATAAAACGCCTCTTTAACGTTTGTTTAATGGTCACCTTTACTGCGATCTGCACTAGCCGGACCTTGGTCGCAGATCTTGGGCACAAACGGACCTCCGTCCACGCAGCTTGTCACATCCACCGGGTCTTGCATCCTATGGGCAACAATTCCCAACTCCTTTGGGGAGGGGAGTCTCTACTTGGACACACACACAAAGGGTCGAGACGTCGCGAACGGCCCTAGCGTCAGCTGCTTCTCGTCACCACAAACGGTCTCATTGGCCCATTGTGTTCGCTCCGTGCTTATGAAGCATTGTACTCTGCAGTGGTCCGTGTCATTGCAGTGTCTCCGAAGTCACCCTCTCACCTGAGTTTGTGCTGTGCCAACCGTGCCAAGCGTTTTGGTACTGGTCCTTCACATCCCTAACACGGGCCCCGGGTGCGCACCGCTCAGCCCCGCCCTGGCCAGCGCCCGCGCCTGAGATCGTGCCACTTTCCTGGTAGAAGGGGCCAGTTTCCGCACAACAGGGGGCACACACTGGCCGCTCACCGTTGTGTAACCACTACTCACGCCCACGAGCATGCGTACGCAATATCGTTTCATGCACACAGCAGCGCCCATGAAGACCAAAAAAAAAAAAGGAGTAAAAAAAAAATAGATGCCAGCCGCGCAAGTGTGTTGTGCCTCTCGCCCTGTCTGCTGTCTGCCCGATCGTGTGTTCGAAACTCACATGCTGCATGGCATGTGGCATGTGTCCACACATGTGCACAGCCACCAACACCGGGTCTGGAACACGGAATAGCTTCCTGCGCCGGGAAAGTGGTACAAGTGTGATACGCATAGGCAAAGAAGCTTCAACCTGAGCGCGCCTGGCGCAACGTGGCGGAGATCTCAGGCCTTCAGGTGTGTATTTCGAGACTTGTGTCGGGAGCAGTGGGATCTGCATCGTCAGTCCCCGTTCTGATCTTAGTCCAGGATTCAGTAAGCGACGCGGATCACAGAGCACAGAGACTTCGTTCTGAGATCGACGTGCCCCCCCTCCCCCCGGATATCGTCACCAGCAGGCGCGGCGTCGGACGCCGCGCTGTCCGATCGTCCGACCTTCTCCGAGCAATCGTCGCAATCGTCGCACCCCTCGCCAAGTGAAAGCGAACAAGACGCCCCCTCTAGCTTACCTCCCACCCCACCCATCCCTCTCTACACGCCCATCGTTGCCTAGGTCGCAGATCGGAGTAGCAGCATCAAGTAGCCGCCAGAAAACGCACACTGCGTGACGCCCATCTGACTGACAGAGCGAATACCCGGCGCCGAAGAGTGCCTCGTACGAGCGCGCGGAGCTTGTTGCCAAACTTGTCCCCATGACTAGCGAGGCACAAGCACACAGCATGGTGCCCTCTCACAGACACCGGGAGCCATGCATTGCCCAAGTGCTCGATCGCAATTCACTTACGCCGCATGCTCACAACTCACTCTTGGGGGACTTGGAGCGACAAAATGGCGATGGATGGACAGACGCAGCCCGCTGTCTAGGTCTGTGAACGGGGTCTGCCACCGACGTCCGAAAGTGTCCATTGCACCGCCGTCGCGGCAGCGTGTGGTACACATGTTACCAAAAGGGCAAGATGGACACCTCGTTTGTTCTATTCATGGACATTGAAGAAACTGGAGGCGAGTGACGACCCACTGAGCACGGTAAGCCCAATTACCCAGCCAAAGGTCTCGGAGGGACGGCGCGTCGTCCAGAGGCATCGCAAAACGTTCCTCCTCCCGGCCACCTCGTCTCTGTAAACGACGGCAACAGCCCACCCAGAAACGGTGTGATCCCAGCCACGATACCACGAGGCGACATGGTTAAACCGGAGAGAGAGGCTGTGCAGCTGTCACGCAGCGAAGCCAAGTCGGGTTGTCGGTGAGAACGAGTGCCCGAATCGGTTGTACGCAAAGCAACGGAGTTCGGGTTCCGTCCCATTAACTGGTGTTTTCGTCTTCATTTTCTCCACGTCCCGTGATCCGCTGACCATCAACCCACCGTTCCACATCGTCTGACTTACAACAAGCTTGTTTCCTGTGGCTCCCAATCCAGGACCCGTCCTGCAGCTGTGCAGCGGTATATTCCGAACCAAGAGGGTGAAGCTGCCAGAGCGCGCGAGTTTCCGTCGTTGGCGAGTGGCGAGCCCCTGCTCAAGTCACCCGGACACGAGGCTCGAGCCGCTCGCCGTTCGTTCCTTGCTGGCTCCATCTCTCAACCAACGAATTCGAGTTTGATTATCCATTCAAAGTGCTTCTCACTTTACAGCTCAACCGCTACTTCCCGTTGGTCAGAGAACAGGGCGAGGGTATCTTGACACCCAGGTACGCACGCAGAATTGCGAGCTTTGGACCTCAGCGTATTATCCTCCAAGAACGGCGGCGTTGTGGATCGGTATCGCGCCATTACTGACACCAAAACTGTCGTGGAGCATCCTGACTGCGTCACTGTCACTTCTCTGCGATGTTCCTTCCTGTCACCTTCAGCGTCACTGCATCCCACGCCACCGGCCACACTTGGACACATGGGTACTCGTTCTCTGATTGACGGCAGGTTTGCCTGGTCACCGCGTCTTCTCCCTTCCGCTTGCCGACTTGTTCTAATCTTATGCCTGCATGCCAGAACATCTGTATTCTCTCCAGCTTCAGGCATCCCCGGTCCTCCAGAATGGGCGGGGGGCTTCCCCCAACGAACGAGTTGACGAGACCATGGCAAGGTGAAGCCGCCGCCTTCATTGCAAGGCAGTGAGACCGGTGTCACCTCGTCGCGTACAAGGGGAAAACGTGGATCGACCACTTAGTGCAACGAAGCCGAAGCAGTTTCCCGTCATGCTGCAACATGCGTGGTCACCCCACTCAGCAACACGACGAGCCATCCCTCAGTGTCCACACCTACGTCGTGACCGCCAAGCGCCAGTGGCCAGTGGGGTTCACCACCACCTATGCCGTTGTCCCCATCCCCGACCTTCTTATGGATATGGCCCGTCTCGGTCCTCGACCTGTGAACACTTTGTGTCCCGAGCAGAGAATTCAGATAACGCAACAGGTTGGACTCTCCCCGTGGCCGATATCCAACATACCTGGGCGGGGTGGGTAAGGGTTAGCGCCTGCTTGATAAAACTGGACGAGTGCTTCTGCTTCCTCGTGTGAATAACTAAGCGTATGTACCCTCGCTGACTCGTGGGTGGCTTTGCTCGATGGTACATACCTTGTGCCATTCGTGTCCTTCACGCCTCTCTTTCCCCCACCTTCCGCTCGCCTCCCCGTTCATTGACCAGTCCAAGCCCCCCCCCCCCATGTTGACCCAAGCTCATCGGCGTGCGTCTCACAAGGCCGGCCGTCCCGGTGCCACAGAGCGTCGCATAGACAGTGGCCACTGGCCGAGTGGGAGACGAGGAGCACTCACGAGGATGTCGTGGACGCGTGGAGGGGATGCCCAGGCCAGGCTGTACTGTCGGAGAACCAAACAGGACAAAGCGGTATTGACCATCGGCCCAACGATAACGGGACGCCGCTGGGGCTGCTCGAGTCCGCTAGAGACCCTCTGGTGTGATCATCAGCACATTAGCATTTGGCATGGTCCCGTGGCGTGAACAAGCGTCAAAGGCTGCTGACCCACATGTCTGCCAAGCGACCGTTGGACGACAAGGAAAGTGCCCAGGCGTGTACTCACATCCCCAAGGCATAACATGTCTGCCACACCACGCATCAACTCGTTTCCACCCGGGCAGCCGGACCCATGGACGAGAGGAAGGCATGCCCCATGCGGGCTTTATCCAGCCACATACAATCGCCAACGGTGGCCTGGACCAGACGTACATATGTACACGGTACACGCCCAGCGCGCATTGACCGGCGACCGGCTGGTCGACGCGTGCGCTCCTCCTCCATTCACTGCAGCGGCGCAGCGGCCAGCTACCTCCCAAGCCGTCCACTGTTGCCGTGTACAGCCAACCATGGGTACGGCCTGTCATGCGCGCGCTCTTGATAAGACTGACCTCATCAACGCGCCGCGGGAGCGAGCGCTCAAACTCCGTCTTGCGTCGCCTGTTCGTTCGGGTCGTGTAGCCCTCGCCCGGCTGGATGCAAGGGAAGACATCGACATGCACAGTGGGGGGAGCCATACATGTCCATGGTCAGCCACGGCCCAAGTCCCAAGGCCCAAGGCCTGCTTTCCAGCTTGTGAGACTTGTCCCTCGACTTGTCCCTCGTGACGACGACGGCGAGGACGCGGCAGACGCCAGACGCGGCAGACGCCGTAGACGCGCCAGACGCAGCACGAGACCGACTTGTTGATCACTGGATCACTGGCGAGCCGGTACACTCGACTGCGCAGCGCGACACGAAGGTTGACAGACGGACACACGACCGAAACGAGGTCGGGCACGAGGCCACGCGGTCTTCTCAAAACGATCACGAGCACGAGCACGAAGCACGAAGCAGGCTGCGTGCCAAGCCAACCTGCCTGCTCGTATAGCAAGTGATGGATTTGGATGTGCACAAGAGGCGCCGGTGGCGCCCGACGCGTCATTGGCGTTTTGGGCATGTATGTAGTCATTTCACGAAGCACGCAGTGTGGGGTGTGTGTTGGTGGTGCGGGGTTCTCTGGTTTCACACGCGTCTGTCTGGTCTGGTCTATTCAATGTTCAGTCTCGGGAGCCAACGCCATGGTCCTCGTCGCGCCTCCTCGGTTGATCCATCCCGTACACCCGTTCCGTATGTTCAGCATGTACACCCCCCCCAGTGCGGTTTCCATATGCCAGTGGGCCTCCACGGCCGCACCGTCGCGTTCAAATCAACTTGTGGCAGTCACTCTCGCATCACACTCGTACACGTCACTTCTATGCCTGGCTGGGATTCTCTTTGTGTTTCTCTTCCCTCTGGGTGGTTTCCCCTTCAAGTCTGTTGTTTGTTTTCGTTTTCCACAGGCAGGCAGGCGGGCACATGTGCGCGCGGCGCGCGCGCACGCACACAATCACCCATCAAGTAAAGGGGGGAAACCCCGTCGGTCGGTATAAAAATTGGAGTAGAATCGCATCCCCGCATCCCCCATCGCCCCGCGCACACCATCGTTCCTATCCCGAGGGGGAAGACTGGAGACGGACTCTTTGTGTCGAAAGGGGGGGTGGGGGTTGTTTACTGACGCCGTCCACCGCCGCCGTAGCCGTACTTTGGCGCCTTCTTCTCAGCGGGTTTCAGGATCTGGGAATGTCAGCTATCTGCGTTGGGTAAGGGGGACTGGATAGCTTACCTGGAAGGAGCATAGCAGGGTGTCATCGACCGACATCATCGCACCGGCATTGTCAAACTGGGAAACGTCAGCTGACCGTTCTGACGAACCTCACGACCTAGCTATACTCACTTCGCCACAGTAATTAGGAGCCGAGAAGAGGGTGACCAGCTGGCGCTTGGCGAAGAACTCGTAGCCGTCCTCGACGACCTGGTGCGCGCGACAGATGAGGTCCATGTCGTGCTTCTGGAGGAAGCGGGAGACGACGTCGGGGCCGAAAGTAAACGACACACCCCTGTCGTTCTCGCTCCAGCCGGTGATGTCCTTGTCCGGGTCGGACCAGAGGAGGTCACAGAGGAGACCAGTGTCGGGCACGTCGGTGGGGCGCATGACTCGCCTGATCTGCTCCATGGACTGGAGGTCGGGGCTGAGGCCGCCGTGCATGGTGAAGATCTTCTCGTCAATGATGGCGGCAATGGGAAGGCAGTTGAAGCAGTCGGTGAACGTCTTCCACAGCTTGATGTTGTAGCGGCGCTTGCACTCGTCGTAGAAGCCGTAGATACGGTTGATGGACGCGCACTCGTGGTTGCCGCGGAGGATGAAGAAGTTCTCGGGGTACTTGATCTTGTACGCGAGGAGCAGACAGATGGTCTCGAGCGACTGCTTGCCGCGGTCCACATAGTCGCCGAGGAAGAGGTAGTTGGCTTCTGGGGGGAAGCCGCCGTACTCGAACAGGCGGAGAAGGTCGTAATATTGGCCGTGGATGTCGCCTGAATCCTTGGTCAGCGGACTGTACAGTTTTTGTGTGCTTCTCATTGTCTTCCGTGTCTCCGCCGTCCCCACATCTGGGTGGCGCGGATTTTGATGTGGTTCGGGGGAAAACCACTTGGAAATGGGACGACACCGGCAGTACGACTTACCGCAAATCTTAATCGGCGCCTCGAGCTCGAGGAGGATGGGCTGGCCGATGAAAATCTCGCGAGCCTTGGTGCAGAGGTACTTGATCTCGTACTCCTGGAGCTGGACGGCCCTGCCGGGGCGGTTTCCACGGACTGTGGGGTGTCGTCAGTAGTTGTCCGCAGAATTCTCACGCGCGGGGGGGGCGGCGGCGGTACTCACCTTCAAGGAGGCGGTCAATGACCGAGTCGAGGTCGATCTCAGTCGAGGGGTCAGCCATGGTGGGCGGGATGGGGTGGGAGGGATGTGAGGGAGGAAGGAAGCTGTAGCCTTGTCAGCGGACCTGTGATGTAACTGATCGGTGGAGTGGACAGAGAGAGACACAGAAAGGGCGAGAAGGCGTGGTGTTTTGCCCCTCGGCGGCCAGAGCCCGTGCGGGCGGCGGCGCGCGTCTGACGTCGGCGCGCGGACTCTCGGCGTGCAAAGGACACACCACAGTGCACAACCCCATGCCAACGCGCGCGCGCGCGCGAGGGTGGTTGGACAGACACCAGTCGACAAAGGATACGACAGGAGCGCGCATTGTGATTACGTCTGCGCGCCGCGTAAACGCCCGCCGACGTTTGGGAACAGGTTTCCTTTTGACCGTCGCACTGCTCTGTCCAACCACCTGCAATCCCCCCCTGTGCGCAGTCTCGCTGCCCAAACAGTCTCTCTATCCTCTGCTCTACACCTCTCGCGACGAAGCGGGGGCGTGTACTAACACTTGGCGCGTGCACCGGCGGTCTTTATTTGCGGCGCGTCACCAGGCCGGGGACTGGGAAGGGCCTTATCGGGTCGCGGCTACGAACGCGGGGCCGGCGCGGCGAGGAGATGAGAAGAGGAGGTGGCCTGGTGTTCGCTGGGGATGGGGCCGAGGTTGGAGGAGGAGTGATGGGTGTGGGGGGTGGTTGGTAATGGCGTAGAAATGGGACACGGAGGAGGGAGGTAGGAGGAGGGAGTGGAGGAGGGGGACACGATCAGTAAGGCGAGTAAAGGATTGCGCGCGAGCGGGGCCAGAGCGGGGCGGGGGCGGGTACCGCTCTGGAGGGGGTTCGTCGGGAGTGGAGGCTCACCTATGCAGAGTGACCTGAGAGGTGCGCGCGAGGGCTTTGGGTGTGGGTGGATGAGAAGGGGGGGGGGAGGAGGCTTTGGGGGTTGGATGAGGGAGGGGGAGGGAGGTGGAATATGGATGTGGGTGGATGGGATGGGTGGGTTGCAGGTCTGTTTCCGCGCGCCTGGCTGGCAGGTATTAGGTGTGTGTGTGTTGGGTTGGTTTTGCTGGCTGGGCTGGCTGGGCTTTGGCTGGGCGGTGCGCGCACGCTGTTTTTGCGTCTGGGTGTGTGTGGTGGCCCCGGTGTGCGGGCTGCGGGCGGCGGGCTGTCTCTCTCGTCCAGCGCGTGTCCCCAAAGGGTCCGCACTCTCTGCCTGGCGGGCTCACCCACCAGCGACCCGCCCTCCGCGCACACCCGTGGGCCATCCCACCCAAAACGTTAATCCCGAAACCCCGATCCAGTGGCACCCATCCATCCTGTTCGAGGTGAGTTGTGGTGTGGTTCTTGGCTGCTGCAGTCGGACGTGTATACATATGGGCATCACAAAACAGAGCACTACAACCGGGGTATATCTCGTTCACTGGCCTACTGGGCCTCGTCGCCGGCCTCGTCATTGTGCGGCACACTGTTCGTTGTCGTCATCACCGCAGGCCTGGAAGTCACAGGAGCAGGAGCAGTGACAGGAGCAGTGGCAGTGACCGGAGCGGTGACGGGAACGGTGACAGCCGCGGCAGGGGCCGCAGCTTGAGCAGGAACAGCAGAAACGTGCTCTGCACCCCCAACGGTCGTCGCAGTCGTTGCAGTCGTTGCAGCAGCGGCACCACCGGCAGGCTGGAGAGAATCACAACGTCAGCATCGTTCTACACTGTCCCCTTGCTAAAGAGAAGCTTGGAACGTTGATGAGAGAGGAGAGGGCTGGGGGACCGGGTAGCCGGCAGAGCACACACGCGGCACGCGGGCACGCGGGGGCCCAACGTCTCGTTTCGCGGGTATCATAACGCGCAGTGCGCACGGGCCAGGTGCTGCAGGTGATGATGGACACCACCACCAGACACATGAAACGCGAACCCGGCTGGCTGGACAGCATTGGAGGAACACGATGACACTTACGGGACCGACAGCCTTCTCGACCTGCGCCACGCCACGCTGCACGGCGCTCGACATCTGGGTGAAGAGGCCAGGCTTCTCTGGGGTCGCCGTCTTGGCGTCGAGCTGCGCGCCGAGCGTGTTGAACGTCGACTGCAAAAGTGTCAATGACGCGTTGACGCAGCAAAAGGACAAACGAAGCTCAAAGCTTATCGGGGCAGGCATGCCTGGTCGCCGACGACGAACCCGTCGCTCGGCCCGTCCACACCACTCATGACTCACCTTCATAGACGCCAGACCGTACCCGAACGCGTTCTGAGCGCGCTCCGTAGCCGTGCCCTGGGAAGCACCCGTACCCGTACCCGTAGCTGTACCCGTCGCGACATGGTGGCTGGCACCCGGGTTGTTGATAGCGGCCGCGTTGAAGCCGGCCCCAGCGCCGCCAGCAGCGTGCTCGGCGCCACCACTGGCAGGGACGTCCTTACCCTTCTTTGGGTCGATCAGCATCCCATCCATCCATGCTCATGTCCATGCACTCCCCCTACCCCCCTCTCCGTCGACGCAACTCAACTCACATCGATGTACTGCGCCTTCAAGGCCTGGCCCTTGGCGAGCGCCGCGTCCGCGTACGGCCGGGCCTGCTGGTGCGCCTTGTCAATGTACGGCTTGGCCTGGTCAATGTACTAAAAGGGGCCACACGACGTCATGTTAGCACAAGTGCTTTCCTTTCTTCTCTGCGATCTCGCATCTCTGCGCGCATGCCGTGCCGGTTTGAAACAACACGACACGACACGACGCGACACGCAGAAACGTACAGGCTTGGCCATCTCCTGCGCGCGGGTGAGGAACGACTCGCCGCCCGCGCCAGCACCAGCACCAGCGCCAGCGTGGGTGGCGGGTGCGGCTCCGGTGGTGGGAACCGCCGCTGGCGCGCTGGGAACGGCGGCGTCGGCGGCCGGAGTGGCCAGCGCAGCGGCCGTGGCTGGGTGAGCGGCCGGGGCGGCGACGGGGTCGGTGGATGGGTTGGGAGCGGCCATGTTGAGACTTTGAGGACTGGTTGCGACGAAGAGAGCGATGGAGAGAGTTAGAGGTACGAGTTACAGATACAGATGGGAGAGCGCCTGTATACCGCTACTGCTCAATTAAGCGCGTGCGCGGGAGAGGCGAAAGAAGACAGAGACGATCGGGGCAGTGGGGGGAAGACAGAGCCTGACGACGAACCCCCGTTCTCAGCCAAGGACGTCATATCCCGCCGCCGCCCGCCATATCGCGCCCCATATCGCTCCGCAAGAAGCAAAAACAAAAAAAGTGCCACTCAATACATGCTACTCGATAACACTGGTTTACACGTCTCTCGTCTCTCTTTGCACGCCTGGCCTCGTCGATTTGGGCCATTCCGCACCCACCCCAGCTAGGTTCTCTTCTGCCTTTGCCCGTCTGCCACATATACTGAATGCTTTACTGTCCGGGATCCAGGCCGACCCAGCTTCCCTCGAGGCCGGAACCGCTGTCGGCCGAGCTCTGTGTGGTGCCGGCCGTGTGGATACTGGACATGAGGTCCTCGCCACCTTCGTGGTCGCTGCTCGAGGCCGAGTGCGATGCGCTCGAGCTGCGGGCCTGGGGCGACAGCGCCTTGGGAGGCGGGGCGGGGGCCGGGCCCGTCTCGGCCAGCGGGGGCAGAGCCGAGAGGACGCGCGGCAGCACGCTCGGCGGCACGATCACGAGCGAGCGCGTGAGCAGCGCGCGCTGGCCGACATAGTAGCTGGTGCGCTGGGCGCACGACGACTTGAGGATGCAGAGCATGTTGTTCTCAAACATGCCATAGTCGCGAGCCGGAGCGCCAATGCCGAGACGGTACAGGACGCGGTTGTAGATGCCCTTGAACCCACACGAAACCAAGTCGCGGAGGATCGACAAGGTCTGCGTCGGCGACGAAACGCTGTCACGCAGCCGCTGGCGGGCCTGTTCACGGCGCGACAGCGTACGCTTCTCGGTGATGATGGCTGGCAGCGATGGGAGGGTGATCTGGCCGAGGAAGACGGACACGACGCGCGCACCGGACGCCGCCTCGAGGTTGTCGCCCAAAAGGCGGTGGTTGCTCGTGAGGAGCTGCGACGCAAACGTGTCGGGCGTGGTGAGGACCGCTGCCGAAGGGTACAGGGTCACCAGCATCGGCATGTGGCCAGTGGCGCCCGGTGCAATGAGCGTGGGCAAGGCCGGGAGCGCGCCTGGCTGGGCTGGCGGCGATGGGTTGAGTGGGTACAGCGACACAAACGCGTGAATGTGCGGAATGTGCGCCGGCTGCGGGTTGTACGGGTCACCACCAGTGGCGTAGCCTGCCTTGCCCGTCGCGGGGAAACGGAGGGTGAGCGTGGCCAGCAAGCTGCGGTGGAAGGCCGGGAAGGTGGCGCTGTCCTCTGGGTCGTAGATGAGCACGCGAAGGGCAGCCTTCTCGCCGAGACCGGAGAGGCGGCGCTCGAGTGCCTCGGCCTCCTTGACGTGTGGCACAGCAACGACCACGACGTAGCCCGCCTTGAGCAGCGAAGCGGCCAGCGGGACAAGAACAGGTGGAGTGGGGGATGGAGCGAGGATCACTGCGAGGTCGAGTTGTGTCAGTTATATACATGAACCTTATCGTCATTGCGGTTGCAGCTCACCGATGGCCTCCTTGAGCATGCCGTCCTCTACGACACCGCGGGTACCAAACTTGCGCCGCAGGCGAAAGTCTTTACCGTATGCTCCAAACGGTCCGGCACCCGTCAAGAGACCGACGCTGCCGACAGTTACTGTGAGTGCAATGCCCGCGATAGCCGTGACGGCGAGTGGGTGGGACCTGGCAAAGCCGCCGGCACGGACACAAGCCCGGCTGGCGAGGGCGGGTGGAGGGGGAGGAGGGGGAGGGGGCACTGCGTCCTTGCCGAAGGGAGGGAAGGGAATGGAGATGCTGGGAGGGCCATGCATGTTGAGCGAATCAACTGGGACATGTTAGCAATTAGGGCGGTGGGGGGGACCTGGTCGTGGCTTGCGCGTCGCGGAGCGGCAACCACACATGGGGTGGCTCCGCAGGTTGTTGATGGGGGGGCGGGACTACTCACTTATCTCGTTTGACACCCGTTCCACAGTCTCGAGCATCTTGCCGGGCAGCTCGTGAATGTTGGAGGGCACCTGCGCCTCGAGCCACTCCTCGAGCTGGTCTAGCATCTGGTGGAGGTCGACGGGCATTGTTGCAAAGGGAAAGGGAGGGTGGGAGCGTTAAGAGCAAAGGCGCCGATAATCACCTTGCACCCGTTTTAAGGACGAGCTGTGGTGCGACGCGCGTGCGATAGAGGAGCTGGATGAGCCGGTGGACTGGGTTCTTGTGCGGGGTGTGCGGTGTTCGAGGGGGGGTTAGATGGTGATGATGGAGAGTGTTCGGCAAGGATGCCGGACGGACGAGGACGGGGTTGTGTCGGGTGGGTGCGAACGCGCGCAGAGGAGAGCGATGTCGTAGGCGCCTCGGCAGCAGCAGTGATGGAATGGTGCAGTGGTGGTGCTCACACTGTACGTCGGTGGCAAATCCCACCCCACCCTATGCAATATGGCTCTCGTGTGATACGGCGTGCACCGCTGGGTGTGGGTCTCGATTCAGTTGACAAAATATAACACACGTAATAAATATGTGTGGAGGAGAGCAGTGACGTCACCGGCTGCAGCCCATATGCACCCACACACCCCATCATCACTCCCGCGCTTCGTCCAGGTATAGAAACCCACACATGCAAAAGGCACAACAGACAGTCTGAACTCTCTCTCCATTACCTCACTCAACGCGTCTTGCCCCATCTCCAACCCCCTGCGACATCCGCTCCCATCTCAAATGGCTTCTCCAGCACCCAGAGCCGACGACGAGCGTCAGTCGGCCAACCCGTAAGTTTCAATGTGGCGCCGTGGCGCCCTTAGCAACAGCGGTCATTGCCGACACACCCAACGTCCCCCGCACACGCCCCCTCGTCTGGTCGAAGCCATCATGTTTTTTGGCATGTTTGTTGACGAGCAGGGCGTCTCTCTCGATGGACCCCAACAAAAGGGTGGCCAGAAACAAGCCTGCCATCAAGCCGCCTCTCAAGGACGTGCCCATGGGACGGTTGTGAGTGGAAACATGTCAAGTGTGGAGCGAGGACCCCCAAGTCCCCAGTCCCAAGTCCCGCCCCGCCGGTAACAGGGTCCCCGCAGCTTCCATGGCCATGTCGCGCATACAGTACACTGACACTTGACTCGCGCCGCTCTCTAGCCTGACGTACCTCTCCCTCGGTCTCCTCGCGCTTGTCGTATTCTACAGTTGGCGCTTTACGGTCTGGGCCGACAATGTCGGGGGATACTGGAACCTCATGACTGGACGCCGGCCGCATCCGCAGGACCCAGGGGCCGCAGGCGTCGCGGCGGGCATGGCTGCGAATGGCCGGTCGGGGGATGACCGTGGCGGCGACTCGCAGGCGCGCGGCCATGCGGCTGCGGCAGCGTCTGCTGTAAAGTCTGCCGGCGCTGGAGGCGACGTGAGTGGACCGCCGCTTACCATTGTCAGAAAAAACCCAATGACTCCTTGAGCTAAACATTTGCAGGACACCGACGCCCAGCTCGCCGAGGTGGCTGACAAGCTCGGCTACACGCCCGAACAGCTGAAGGAGGCCCTCAAGATGCTCAAGATCCTCGACCCCAAGGGCGAGGGAGCAGCTGTGCACGCCGATGCAGACGCTGCTGCAGCAGCTGCGGCTGCGGCTGCCGCCGCTGCTGAATCCTCGGCCGAGCCAAAGGAGGACGGGCCCAGCATCCTCAGTGTCGTGGGCGAGGCGCTGCTCGACTAGCTGCCATACAAACCGAGAACAATGACACATTGATATCCATCTCGTCTGGATTCCCTACTCTGCCTACCTTGTGTACATGATACATTGATCCACGAGCCGAAGAAAATGTGAAAAAAATATCCCCAGGAAACCCCAACCCACAACCAAACTAACCCTTCACGTCCACCATGTCGCCGTCCTCGAGATCCAGGTCGTTGACCGTCGAGTCGCCCGTAAACTGCTCCCCGTCGAGGTCGAGGTACATGCCCGCAGCGCGGTCGGCAGCAATGTTAAACTTGGTGCAATAGTACTTGATAAGGGTCGAAACCTTGGTTTCCTTGGTTGCACGCGTGTTGAGCTCGCCGGCGGCGCCTCGCAACTTCATCTTGACCTTGTTTTCGTCCTCGACCGGTTCGGGGACAGACGCGGCCGCCGTGTCGGGTGCGGGAGACCCGGCCTTGGACTTGGAAGGAGACCCGGTGGGGGACGCGCCAAAGTCGTCGTCGTCGCCAAACAGGCGTTCGCGCTCGGCCTTTCGTTGCAGCTCCTGCACCTTTTCCCAGACCACCTTTTCGTATGCCACTGCTTGCGTTAGCCAAATGCCGAGCACGGATGACACCCACCCATAGTCGCCGAGTACATGATCCCGAGCTGCCCAGGAGTCTGGGTCATGGCATACAGGCGCTTGTCCTCGTAGACGAGCAACAGGTCCTGTGGCCTCTTCTGAATCCTCTCAGCCAAAACTTCCACCACGTCAGACAACGGGCTGTTCTGCGGGGACCATTAGCGACCTGTTTGCTACAGTTGGCGTGCCCTGTACCCACTCGGAGAACGTGGTAGATTTGCGGACGCTCATAGTGAACAATGGCCTTTGCGCTCGCGGTCGCCTTCCTGTCCGGGTCGGCAACCATCGAGATTGTGATCATGACAGTGGGGACGGTAGGGACCGAGGAGCCATTAGCGGCCGGCGGCGGGCTGGACGGCACGTCCTCGTCCTCGTCGTCCTCTTCTTCGGTTTCTTTCCAGTGCGCACTGGTCGTCAGTTTTCGCTCTTAAGAGGCATGGGATAAACTCACAAGAGACGCTCTTTCAGACGAGCCTGGACGTCGGCGCTGAGTTGGGGCGGTGGGGTGAGCTCGACCGTCTTGCGCGCTGGTGCCTTCTCTTTGCCCTTGCCCTTGCCCTTGCCTGGGCTGGCGGACTTCTTCGACGTCGAAGGCTCGTCGTCGTCCGTCAACACGCTCCTGGTCAGGGGGTAAGCTCATGCTCGAACGGCTCGCACACGTCCACTCACAGAGGGTCGTTGCTCCCTCCCCTTGCGCTTGCGCTGTTGTCCTCGGAGCTCTCACACTTCTTGCGGCTGCGATCACTGCGAGCCCACTCGGGAAGGTGGGTCGTCGTCTTGGGCAAAGCCTTCTTCCGGCGCTTCTTTTGGGACCCGCCGTCAGAGTCCGAGTCTGAAATGACAATGGGCTCGGTGACGGCCCCACGGGTGGTGGCTGGAGGAGGTCAGTGACCGTGCTTGGGAGGGAGGAAGGGAACCGAGCAAACAAAGGGGGACGACGGTTGATCGCCGCCGAGATGTGATGTACTCACGCAGCGGCTTGGCGTAGGTCCGCTTCTTTGCGGTGAAGAACTCGGTGTCACTGTCGGTATCGGATAACTCGATGACCTCGTTACCCTTGCCCTTGGAGGACATGGTGGATGGT